AAAAATGTTGGAGTGAAATGACTTAGAGAGGATTCTTAAAAGTGCTCACCACAGAACTGAGAGGTGATGAATGTTAACTAAATTTATTGTGACAATCATTTCACAATAACACATATAGCAATTCATTATGTTGTATACTTAAAACTACCTGGAGGAGGAAATGGCAACTCACTCCAGTATCCTTGCCTGGAGAATCCTATGGACAGAGGGGCCTGGCGGGCTCTGCAGTCCACAGGGTCGCAAAGGGTCAGATGCGACTGAGCAGGCACACACACCTAAAACTAAGTGATGATCACATCTCAAAACTGGCTTTAAAAAAAAAAACATTAAAAAACTAAGTGCAATGAAAAGGTAACTGGCTGATCTATTTCTTTTCTCAGTACTGCCAGGCCTTTTGGTGAATATGGAATTAAATTCTGTTTCCAGTTTCCTCCTTAAACACTGAGAAGCTGAAACTGTTTTCCTTACAAAGTTAGAATTTTGTTGAATTTTACGAAATTAAGCAGTGGGATCTGGCCACCATGCCAGCAAAAAAAAAGAGTTAATGAGGAAGAAATTGTGGTTTATGCTCTACTGTGATGAACTCCAGATTTTGAAAATGATCTTCAAACCTAAGAGAACAAAGTAAAGAACCTCAAGACTTGGAAGAAAATAACTGAAAAGAAGGAGCTTTCTACCAAGTGGCTGCTGGAACACGAGCTGATGAGACTATGAAGTGTCAGCTCAGCAAGACTGAGGCTTCCTATGCTTCAGCTAGGCAAACCCTGAGATGAAAGCACACACAATGGAATTGTTAACATGAGATCCAAAGAAAGAGCCCCTCCAATAATAATATAACTCCTCAACATTAAATCTTCAAGCGGAAAATGAAAACTCACAGCTGCTTTTCTCACCAGGAGGAGAGAATAGCAGACTACTGTCCTTCTTTTTCATGAATTTGAGGACTGCAGTATTAATGGAAAAACAATGCCCAGTTAAAAAACAAAGGCTCCCACTACAGTGCCTTTCGGCAAAAGAATAGACCATTACGGAATTTACCAGCAACTTACACCATTTCAAAAAGTGCTTGCTATTTGAACATCTTAGGGCCTAAACCATCTTACCTAATACATGAAAAACAGCATATAAGAGAAAAAAAAAAAACCCAAATGCTGTTTTCTATTATATGTAGCTTCAAAGAATTTTAAACCATGCTGTAATTATCATCAGTTCAGTTCAGTTCAGTCGCTCAGCCATGTCTGACTCTTTGCAACCCCATGAATCGCAGCATGCCAGGCCTCCCTGTCCATCACCAACTCCCGGAGTTTACTCAAACCCATGTCCATTGAGTTGGTGATGCCATCCAACCATCTCATCCTTTGTCGTCCCCTTCTCTTCCTGCCCCCAACCCCTCCCAGTATCAGGGTCTTTTCCAATGAGTCAACTCTTCACATCAGGTGGCCAAAGTACTGGAGTTTCAGCTTTAGCATCAGTCCTTCCAATGAACACCTAGGACTGATATCCTTTAGGATGGACTGGTTGGATCTCCTTGCAGTCCAAGGGACTCTCAAGAGTCTTCTCCAACACTATAGTTCAAAAGCATTAATTTTTCGGCGCTCAGCTTCCTTCACAGTCCAACTCAGACATCCATACATGACCACTGGAAAAACCATACCCTTGACCAGACGGACCTTTGTTGGCAAAGTAATGTCTCTGTTTTTTAATATACTATCTAGATTGGTCATAACTTTCCTTCCAAGGAGTAAGCGTTTTCTTAATTTCATGGCTGCAATCACCATCTGCAGTGATTTTGGAACCCCCAAAAATAGAGTCTGACACTGTTTCCATTGTTTCCCCATCTATTTCCCATGAAGTGATGGGACCAGATGCCATGATCTTAGTTTTCTGAATGTTGAGTTGTTTTTTTTTTTTTTTAAAGACAACTCCTGCAATGCGGGAGTGAAGTGAAGTGAAGTTGCTCAGTCGTGTCTGACTCTTTGCAACCCCGTGGACTGGCAGCCTACCAGGCTCCTCCATTCATGGGATTCTCCAAGCAAGAATACTGGAGTGGGTTGCCATTTCCTTCTCCAGAGAGAATGTTAAGTTTTAAGCCAACTTTTTTACTCTCCTCTTTCACTTTCATCAAGAGGCTTTTTAGCTCCTCTTCACTCTCTGCCATAAGGGTGGTGTCATCTGCATATCTGAGGTTATTGATATTTCTCCCAGCAATCTTGATTCCAGCTTGGGCTTCATCCAGCCTAGCATTTCTCATGATATACTCTGCATATAAGTTAAATAAGCAGGGTGACAATATACAGCCTTGACATACTCCTTTTCCTATTTGGAACCAGTCTGTTGTTCCATGTCCAGTTCTAACTGTTGCTTCCTGACCTGCATATAGGTTTCTCAAGAGGCAGGTCAGGTGGTCTGGTATTGCCATCTCTTTCAGAATTTTCCACAGTTTATTGTGAGAAATTATCATAATTATACCAGACTTTTATATATATATTAAGTATATATATAATATACTTTTATATAATTATAAAAGTAATTATCATTATACTCAATTACATGAACTTGAGAGTTCTCACTCAGCATATTACTTGAAATGCCATGATAATAATAATAATACCATTTATTCTCTTATATTTCAGGCAAACCTTCAATCCTAAAGATGTGCCCAGTTCTCAGAACCCTTGGCCTGTTGCTTTGCCATTACAGACAGGCCCTGGAGTACGAGCAAATTCTCCACTGCAGGACAGTGACAGAAATTCAAAGACACACAAACAGTGAATGCTCACCGGCTACAGTCAGTAAGCTCTAGTTAGGAGGGACATGGGTGAGCAGCACAGGCAGGCGCTGTTGTGCCCTGAAAACTTCCATTCAGAAAACATCCCAATGATTATCAGATGACTGGATAAATCAGCATAGTGCATCCATACAATGGAAGACTATATGGTACAAAGAATGAAGGGTGAAAAAGGCAAAGTAAAGAACAATATTTATAATATATTAGCTTTTGTCTACTAAAGCAAGAGGAAGGTAAGAATCTCTATTTTTATTTCCTCTTGTAAGCATATGCATAAAGTAAAGTAAAAGAAAGATTGGGAAAAACTGAAGGCAAAAGGAGACGGGGGCAGCAAAGGATGAGAGATAGATAGCATCACCGACTCAATGGAGGCAAATCTGAGCAAACTCCAGGAGACAGTGGAGGACAGAGGAGCCTGCTGTGCAGCAGTCCATGGGGTTGCAAAGAGCTGGACACGACTGAGCAACTTCACAGCAAAGTGAAGCACAACCAACTGAAAACAATAGTTAACGCTTCAGCAAGGCACAGGACCTGAGCGAATGGGTGACTGACGGGATGCAAAGTCTGTGTTATATATCTTTTCATACTTCTTTTTTGTCAAACAATGGGAATGCATTACATATTTTTTAAAGCATTAAAAAAAAAACACCTCTCAGTTCCAAATTTCTATTCACTTATTTCAGGAATTATCAATCTACCACTTTAGATATATGTTGGAAAAGACTAAAAGAAAGCAATTGTATCTTCTACTTGAACCAATAAGCACAAAGGCTTTTGAGAATTTTTTTTTACAGGAACAACTTTTTTAAGTACAAATGTTAAAAGAAAATCCCCAGAAAAATAGTTTCAATGACTGTTTCTGGTTTATAAAAGGTAAGTGAAATTCAATTACACAGAGAACAAGTAATGTTTGGATTGTAAAGCCTTTCCGTGCGATAATACATTGACACACAACTTAAGAAAATAGCTTGAAATACAAAAATACAGTTGTGATCCAGGAAATGGCACCAAATTAGAACAGTTTTATTATTTAACATACCAATGTATATACAATGTCCTCCCAAATAAGAAACAATTTTGATTCCAAAGTTTAAAATGTGATTTCCAAAATGAATACTAACCGTAATTTTGGGGGTAAAAATAGTCTTGCAAATTAACACACATCATTTCGATCCTTGACTAAAATATGCACCCTGTACTAATCACCTCTCTCATACAAAGTGTATATTATAAATAAAATCTTCAAAAAAGATCTCAGATGTTTACTGCATATCATAGAGAATGCTTACCACCACCACCTGAAAGGCTTTAAGCCCTTCCCTTTATTAGATGTTTAAAACAGATACTCAAATCTGGATGAAAACAACACTCTGTAGGTATTAGCATATCTAGGATCATATATGATGCTTATCATAAAAAGGAAAATATAACCTTGCTGGACTGCTTCTGTTACTTTTTCTAAAATAAGAATTACTCTTTCCTACTGCTTTAAAAGCAATGATAAGAGATGTGAACAAATTAAAAGTCCTGTTCAAATGTCAGTTTTCTCTTTTCAAATAGAAACCACATGTAGAGGCATTTTTACCCAGTCATATATTTCTACTTCCTAGGACCAGCCCTTCTTGAAGTATATATTGTTAAAGACCATCCTACAGGGTTCCTAATGAATGCTATCCATTATCACCAGTAACTGTTCTGGTCTCAACATTTTCAAACTCTCTTAGCTCTGGTTAAGCCAGCACAAACCAGCCAGAACACAATGGCCTTAAGGAAAAAAAAAGGGGGGGAGCCTACTGATAAGTTTTTGTATCGCCTAGTACAGTGCCTAGCACAGAGTAGGCATTCAATAAATAGGTGACGAATGGATGCACTATCTCTTAAGAGCGTTTTCTACACTCAGATGTATTAATGACTTATGAGTAATATGCTGCATTAGGGCACACAAATCTAACATGACTAAACAAAGAAGACACAGGACAGGGCATAGACACTGTTAGCTTCTACAATTCTGTCCCAGGGCAGAATGTGTACTTTAAGGGTTAAAACTATTCCAATAATAAAAATTGATTAGTCAAATATCTTTATTTTGCCAAGGGACTCTACCAGTATTAACCTTTGGCAATTGCCCAACATACAATGAACTCCAAACAAAACAAAACGAAATTGCACTGTTACTAAGAAGCAAGTCCACGGAAGCAGACCAGAAGCCCAGTTAAGGGACGGCAACTTCAAGGAGGCGGTTGTTTTTTCGTTTGCAGGTTGGGACACTCCCGTTTTTCTGGTTGCCCTGAATAAACTTCACGCACACTTTGTCCTGCCTGAACTGCACCAGGAACCTAGGAGGAGAGAATAAGACAAACTAAAGAAAAGTTCACACATAACAGCTGATGATTACATGAACACTAGCCTTTGTTTTCTAATGGATATTTACCTTTCCATCAGCCCTTCTAGCCAGAGGATTATGCCACCAGGTATAATTACATTGCCTTTTGCTTCCAACGGCCACCATTTAGCCCTAAGTAAACTCAAGCTCATTAGCTCATCATATTCCTATACAGTAAGAAGGACTATGAATAATTATTTCCACATTTGAAATATTAATACTAAGACAAACATGCTATTTTCCCCATTTTTATCCACTTCTGCATAGCAAAAATAGTAAAATTATCAACAAATTGAGAAAATGAAATACAGAAATACAGAGAATGGGTCCAGAGACACTCCAGACTATGGTTTCCAAATATTGGATATTTACACACCTCCTACACTACTTTTTTTTCACTTTGTCATGCATCCTTTTTATTTATTTTTTTCTTTTTTTTTTTTCATTTATTTTTATTAGTTGGAGGCTAATTACTTCAAAACATTGCAGTGGGATCTGTCATACATTGACATGAATCAGCCATGGAGTTACATGTATTCCGCATCCTGATCCCCCCTCCCACCTCCCTCTCCACCCGATTCCTCTGGGTCTTCCCAGTGCACCATGCCCGAGCACTTGTCTCATGCGTCCCACCTGGGCTGGTGATCTGTTTCACTATAGATAATATACATGCTGTTCTCTCGGAGCATCCCACCCTCGCCTTCTCCCACAGAGTCCAAAAGTCTGTTCTGTACATCTGTGTCTTGTATCTATACACTAAATAACTGTGTTTTAAAGTAGCTATGACCTATAGAATAAAAATGATGAAATCATAAGTCTGATCTTCCAGTTATATTTTTAATATCCATTTAAATATATGTATACACACACACGTATGTCATTATAAAAATTTAAAAATCTATCATGTACACCTAAAGACACCTCTTATCCTACCAGTGGTACAAGCAGTACACTGTGGGAAACGGTATTTTAGTTCAAATCTTTCCTTTCACAGACCAAGAGGAGTCAAGCGTTTGCCCACAAGACTATTTGTCACACCTTCCTACAACAGACATGACTGGCTTCCCCCTGGGCTGGGTGCCATGAGAAGCAGGCGCTGGATGTATGAAATGAGGTCTCTGAGGCATCACAGGGCAGGCACACGGGCAGCACGGCTGTGCTGGAACCCAGGCCTTCCCAGCCTGTTTTCTCTACCATCAGCATCAGTATAGCATTACCCTGTTTTCAGCATGTTTCTCAGGGAACTGCTTCTGAGTTACTGGTGTATAATTAAATGAGTCAGTCTAAAAAGCATGCGGTAGGTCACATGTTCACTGGCACCCACGACAGCTCTGCTCTGTACACGTCAGTCTCTGCTTCAAGGTCTAAAGAGCCCATGTTTCGCAAACATTATGTACTAGAGTGAAACGTGACACATAAGCTTGTACTCATCGGTGGTACATCTGAGCTTTAGATGGGCTGTTTCTTTTCAACTTGAAAGCACTGAAAAAGCAGCTCTAGTTCCACATTCACCTGAGATCTCTCTCTAGCATGCATACTTAAATCTATGTGCCTCAAAGGAAAAACAAAATCTTTCAAGTTTAACACAAATACATACATTTAAAAGATCAAATATATTTACATTTTAATTTTTAAAGACAATCTGTAGTGTAATAAATGTAGAGGGAAGTTCTTTTCTCAATAACGTAAGCATATACCAGCTGTCTCCATGTCTGCAATTCATGCCCATGATTCACTCCAGAAGTAACAGTAGCTAAACCTTATTGAGTGTTTACCATGCACCACACTGTTCTTAGTAAGTTACATATTAACTCAACTTTAAAACAATCCTATGAGGTAAGTGTACTATTATCTCTCTTTCATAGAAGAGAAAACTGAAGCCTGGCCCACAGTGAGGACACACCATCCTCCAGCAAACAATCATGTCAGATGCATGATTTCACAGCATCAAAACCACTTAGAATGTCACAGCAAAAGGAGTACAGATTAGTTGTTTGCATTTAAAATATCCAGAAAACAACTGTATAACTTAAAGGATACATATATGTGTGTATTACATGTATGCATGCATATATAAATATATTTAAAGTATTTAATAGAAAAAAATCACTTTAGTTTTCAATGCTACAGATTCATTTTTAGAAGTACTATAGATCTTGTTTAATGTTATCCTTAAAATGTAATTTATTTACAGATTGAATAGTTTGGGAATTTAAGGACTGGGGATCACAAGGCAGTCGAGTCTCTCAATGAATTCAATTCTCATGTCTACATGTGCTGGTTATTCTCATGTCTACATGTGCTGGTTAAAACTGCTCTAAGGAGGAAGCAGGCCTTTGGCTGTCCTCCTGTAAGCTGACATCCAGTTTATCTACAGTGATTATGGAGATTGGGTTTGTTAGAATACCTACTATTTCTAAAAAGGATGCACTGAGGGAGGTTTTGGTCGCTGAAATGCATGCTGTTTATAACACTGCTCTGTATAGTCCACAAAAAGACATCATGGGCATGCTTGTCCACGACTCTGTAAAAATTTGTTTAAATTTAAAATGCTCACCAAAAAAGTACATAATCCCTGCTTAAGAGCTCCCAGAGGTCCCGAAGCAGCGGCTCCACGGGAGCCTCGCTCTGCCACATGGTGTCCTGTGCTGCCCAGGGAGGGACCCTGGTGCTCTGCAAGTGCCATCAGCTATTTTCTTTTTATGAGACCGACCAACAACTAGGAATAGGAGAAGGAAAGGTGTTCTGGCCTGGTTTATAATGCTACTAAATGCTTGTTTTCTTCACATGGCCATACTGAATCTTCACTCAGAGGAGCATGTTTACTGAAAACTTACACACTCAGAACATCACCCCCACCCCTTCTGTGACAAGCAGGGTCCCTTTCACCTGGAAGCAGTGTTCTGAGATCGAATGCCTCAAACATGAACTGTGAGCGCTGCTGGAGGGCCTCTGTGGTTGACACAGAGCACACTGCACCCCCACAGGGCGTCTCGGGAGAGTCACCATGTACAGCAAGACTGCAGAAGCTCTGGGAAGTGCTGCAGTGAAGGACAGTACATCTCTTCACAGCACATCACTACTAACATCCTGCCAATGCAGTGTTCTCAGAATGCCAGTCTGGGAAGTGCTAAAAGCAGCAATCCTTAGTGGCCTGGATGTTGGTGTGGCTTTCTCTGTAAAGACGGCCTTATTAACATAGCAAACCAAATGTGAAGCTGCTTCATCCATACACCAAGAAGCTTCTGCATCTGAACACAAAGACTCTTTCCAGGAGGTGTGGGAAGACCAGTTCCACTAAAACAGGAGCCCAGCTCCCTGAGTTATGAAATATTTCAACTGAGAGTTTAAAGATCTAACAACCCTAACAGGTTAACATTTTAGTTGACGAGAACCCAACTGGTCCATGTCTTTTCTCCTAAGTCTTTGTTTTATGAGAAAGGACTTGATAACAAGGAAAGTTAGTTTGTTTACATTGCAATTTCCAATACAGGTATACGTAAAAGTCAATTACCACCCCCTCACCCTCTATCCCCATCTAAACACCATTCCTAGTGTACAATGAGAACAGTGAACCTAAGGTTCTGTCAAATTTAGTATATCAAGGAGAGCTGGTATGGCTTACAAAGGGACACAAATGGGTATGAACTTATTTTAGAGAAACTTTTAAAAAGAGTTGATTAAAATAAGCAGGCAAAATCTTAATTAGAAAATAAAATCATTTCCTGAGCAACATGGTGATACAAATTTTACTCCATGTGCAAGAAAGTATATATGCAGACAGTAAACAATCTATTGAAAAGTAATCAATTAAGTATCAATTCACATAGCAACTAAAATTCATTCCAATGATCTCATACTGACAGATTTAATAAACGGAGGGATGCTTCAACCTGTATGCAAATAAGAGGTCTCTATAATTAGAACCCTAATGTGAAGCCAAAAAAGCAGATTTCAGATTCACAGCAGTCTTAACACTAGTGAACCCTTGTCAGCCCAGAATGCTTATTCCATAACTCTACTTTGTATGTGAAAAAAGGTATATCAAATAGCTAACACATTCCCAAATGGCACTCTTGACTTCCCCCTACCCCCGCCACCCCCGAACCCATCATTCTTCAGTGTCAACTACTGCAGTAAATGGTACCATTTGGGCTCATGCCCCAAACCTAACACCCAATCTGTTAATAAGTTCTCTTGTTTTCCTTCAAATTACATTCAGAACCTGACTACTTCTCACAGCCTCCCACTCACACCCCTGCTAAGCCTCGTCATCCTTACCCGACAGCTCAGAGAAGCTCCTATTCCCTCTGCTTTCACTCTTGCCTCCCTACAGCTATTCTCCACACTGCAGGCAGAGAGATCTTTGAGAATCATAAATCTAATCATGTCACATTCTTGCTCAAAACCTATAGCGGCTTCCCATTATCCTCAGTAATCTGTGTAGACCCTGCCTCTTCTCCAGGGTCTTCCCCCGTCCCTATTTCACTCTAACAATGTCCACTCCTGCTTCAGGGCCTCTGCACCTGCTGCCTCCCCTGGAAGGCGTATCCCTGGATTCCAGTTTCAATTCAAATGTCACCACATCAAAGCAGCCTCCCAGGTCTCTCTATCAAAAATAACTCCTTCTGACCTTTAATCTGCTTTTTCTTTCCTCTGCCAGCATTTATTACTAACCAAAGTCACACCACCTACTTATTATTTCATTTGTGCATATCTGTGTCCTCTATTAGGATGTCAGGCATGTGAACGTGGATAGTTGGTCAGTGTCACCCACTGCCCATCCATCACCTAGAACACATGTCGAACACACACTAGGTACTCAGTAAGTAGTAGTTGTAAAAAACGAATGAGACCAGGTCCCTCAACTAAAACAATAAAGCTGAAACTGAAAAGACATATTCAAACAATTCATAAACATACTCATCAGAAATTTCAATATTGAGCTTCTGTTTGGTTTGGCTGAGAGTTGTCCGATAGAGCTTGGTGGCCATTTCAATCAGGTGATCACTGCTGAAGAGAAAGTCTCCCTTACTAGCTGCTTCGCAGCCCTGAAAGAACAAACCAAGAGTCAGGCTAATTGTAATTAAAGATAGCTCGGGAGGTATGTGTTTACAGGTTTGGCTGAAAACACATTCACAGTTTCTTTAAAACATCAGCAACTGGTGTCGAGTCTTCCAAATCAATAATGATGACAAGAGCAGACATGGTTTCTTCCAACTTGCTCAGAGCACTTCAGTAAGGTCACCTAAGCCCTTGTCACCCCAAGCTGCCTGATGGGCCAGAAGTACCACCAGCACCACCTGGGACCTTGTTGGAAAAGCGGATACTCAGGCCTGACCACAGGCTTATTGCAGATGCTTTCACAGCGAGGCCCCTGTGTGACCTGTTTGCTTGCTCAGGTTGGAGAAGCACTGGCCTAACCTACAACTCATCCTGGAAGCGCTGTTTTAAAAGCTCCGCCATGATTTGGTTAAAAAAATAAGAACAGCAGCAACAACGCTTGCAACAAATATTCTAGGGCAGAGGCTCAACCTCAGCTGCACAAGGGACTCAGCCGGGGAGCTTTCAGAAAATAGGGTGCTTGTGCCCCATTCCAAGAAACTCTGATTTGGTTGGACTGGGGAAATGGCCTGTGCACCAGCATATTTTAATATATAATTGAGGCTCAGAATCACCGATGAGATAATATGCTCCCTTAGGTTAAAATTCACAGTGGGGAAAACAGGCCAAACAAAGCATGTGGGTTTTTTTTAAGTTCAAAATCAGTTAGATAGACTACTATCTATTAGCTAAGTATATATCTCTATATATGTTAATATTTACTGACATCTGTTTATTCAGTGACTATTATGTGACATGCAGTATGCTAAGCACTTTACATAGTTTCATTTAACCCTTATAACAACACTATTAAGTAGGTACTAATATTTTTCCTATTTTAAGAGAAGAAAAATTAGGTAGGCATATTAAAGTTTAAATATCTTGGCCAAAGTCACTGTAAAGTTAATGGCACCAATGTCAGAGTCTACACTTTAACCGCTCAATTCAAGCCAGGCGGTCCTGGTTAAGCTGACATCAAAAAATCTTCAGGTCAAAATTATTAGGCAGTTGTTTTACTATAGTTGCATCCTTTAATTAAAAAGTCCCCAAATTAAGTATGGATAAGAAGACATTTGCCAATTTAGGAGGTACAAGAAACAACAGAAGGAAGCATAATTTTAAATGTCTTGATATTTCTAGGCATTAGTCTCAAAATAATGCACATTACACTGGGTGTAAACAAAAAGCTACTCAATGAAATGAGAATTCAACTGAACAAGTCAGTAAGAGTCATTAATCTTATTTAGTTACTGAAAAACGAAGCCTGAGATTTTATGTAAGAGTGAATATAGCCCAATTTTGCAGATCAGTAAGAAGGATATACAAACTGCAAGTAACAGGATTATTCACATGTGGAAAATCTTAAATCAATGACTGAGAGATTGGACCAATGCAGAAATCTTTCAGTCAAATCAATAGTTGAACCTTTACCTCTTTGAGGTGGATGGCAAAGAAGCCATCATTTTGTGAGCTCATGGATACTTTGGTTACATCCACCAGGGGAACCTCTGACTTGATCTGTCCAGACTTTTGATCAGCAAGAAGCAGATTATTATTTGTTAAGAGGAAAATACGGGATGTACTCTACAAGAAAACAAAACAAAAAAGGATATAAAACCAAAGATCAAAAACACCCCCAAATTGTCCATGTGTTTAAGGCATTAGTTATTTGTAGACATGCACATCTTATAATAGTATTTTTCAGCCTGCACACCTATGTAAACTGAAAACACACTAAAAAACATAGACAATCTATTTCAATTTGCGAAAATTTCAGAGAATGAGCAAAATTCCACCTAAGCTTAAAGGCAAGAGAAAAGAGCTTCCTTCACAATAACTCCAAAGAGAATATGAAACGCAAAAATTTTTTTGATGTATAGTTGATTTATAGTATGTTAGTTTCAAACGTACAGCAAAGTGATCCAGTTATACATATACTCTGTGTACATATTTCTTTTCAGATTCTTTCCCATTATACATTATTACAAGACATTGAATATAGTTCCTTACAGTAGGAATTTCCTGTTTATCTGTTATATAAAGTAGTGTGGATCTGTTAACCCCTTACTCCTAATTTATCCCTCCCCGCCCCTTTCCCTTTTGATAACAGTGTTTGTTTTCTACATCTGAGTCTTCCTGCAATGCAGATTTTAACATTCAGAAAACTGTCCCAATTGAAACACTGTCATTAGAGGTCTCCAGGGTTAGCATTCTTACCTTCCCATTAGCACGGTTAATTTTGTTCACAACCTCAGCAATGATAATCTTTTCTTCAATGGCATCTTTAAGTTTCTTATACTTGGGATTCTTGTTGATTTCCAGGTAAGGCCCTTGGAATGGCTGCCCAACGCTGAAGGAAAAAAGTTCCTCACATTAGAAATGGTTTCAGATGGAAGTACTACTAGAAAAAGGTAATGGGTTGGCTGATTCTGAAATTCAAACTTCATTATATTTTTAATGTGACCATGGCATTTGCTTGGTAAGACTTTGATAAAAATCTCATCACATGGAACAACCAAGACAGAAACCTCTCCCAAGAAGGACAGTCAAGACCCAGGTGCATGGTCTCATGGGAAGGAAGAGGCAATTTCTTCCAAACTGTTAATATAAAGTTAACAGCTGCCTACACAGGATTCATTAATGCCTTTAAACAGTACAGAGCAATGATAAAAAAGGCACAGATCATCACCATCTCCTGCTCCAAAGAAAATTTTCATTTTGTCACAAAGAGTAAGAAAATTGACAGGCCTTCTAGGGAGTATAACAGATCCAGAGCGACCACTTTAGAAGAAAACTTTGGAGCACTTAATATTACCATAGAATTCTGGCTCTAAGCCGGCCACATGTGAAAGGAAAATCGGCCTTTCCTCTTAGGATATGCCCCTAAATGGACAGAAGTGGCCAAGGTAAACATTCAGGATTGGAGCAGCTTTCTTCCAAACAAACTACTTCTTGCAAGAGGCATGATCATGCACCCAGCACCAAGATTTCTTTTCCTAAAGACTTGTGGGGTGACTTCTTCAAAGACACCAAGAAAAAAACCACAGCTTCACTTTGAGCCAGAAAGTTCTGGCAATTTGCAAATGCAACTTAAAATGCTTGCATTGTGGGTGGAGGATCAGGGCAGAAAATCCACGTAGGTGGTCAGGGTTTCACAGCTCCCAGGACAGGAAAGGCCGGTACCCCTAAGAGCTACCACTTCACACAGGAGTGGGCGCGTACACAATTCCAGCTCAATTAATGCTGGAGGCTTAGCACGCCACCATCCCTGAAAACTAGTAAAACTACCCGAAAGGCCTTGGCTTGATATTCACATTTTTGGGTGGTTGTTCATATTCTAACATGTTTTTAATAATACAAAGTGCTAATAGTATTGGAAATTTGTTTTTTCAAAAATTTTTTTTCCCCTCCTTCCAATTTCTAAGGAGTCATCCACAGGGAATGTTAAGAAGGTTACTTTACAATTTAAAGATACATAAAGAAAATGCTGAATGTATTAAGTTGGTGAGGAAAGCATAGAGACAATTTACCTGTTTGAATATGCTTTATAGAGCAGGCATTTTGAATACCATTGGTTTTAGGCACTGTGTTTGACTCAGGGGAGTGTATGCCCCCTCAAGCAGCCAAATCAGCTAACCAAGTAAGCTGTGCTACTAAAATATCTAAAGCAAATGAGTTTGGCAATTTACGTTCATTTAATCCTTTAAGAAGAATAGCTTTCAAATACAGGTAGACATAAAGAACACACATGCACACATACCACATGCAGTCCATGTGAATATACTTAGCATATACTGCATTTTTATTTCTAGGACATTCTTTGGAAAAAGCTAGAAGTTGTTATAGATTTGTCTTGAAGTTGTACAATCTACTTTTTTATAAATACCAGATGCAAAAGGGATAGGAATTCTGAGGTGGGGTGGGGGGGGGCAGGAATGATGACCTTGGGAGATGTAAGAATATTCAGATAAAGCAGTTTTTACCAAGAACTTCACTTGGCAAACTTGCAGTTGGTTTTCCTTCTTTTACTGAGTACTTGATGTCTACAATAAAGGAACTGACATTACTGCAGAGGCCAGTGAAGTCGGAGGCAATGAGTTAGCTGACCAAAGGTCACTACGGGCCACTGTCCAGGCAAGGCTCAGAAAGTGACAGACTGGCTCATCCTTCATTTATCTTACAAAGGAGATTCTGACCCAGCTTGTTAAAGTGGGAAGATTGGAATGGTGATTACAGTAGATTGTCAACAGAAACCAGCTAGTCTCTGAAACCTATGGAAAACGAATGGGAATTTACCAAGTAAATCTCTTATTAGCCTAGACAATTTTTACTTTGAATGACAACTTCTAATTATTTAGGAAGTGTTCAGGATAATGCTAAGGGAGTAAAACCAACACATGTGATCTTGTTTCTCTAAGTATGCTAAGTATGAAAGCTCTTGCTCAAATGTGTTACATTCATATTCAGACTCTTGAGAGTACCTTGGACTGCAAGGAGATCAAACAAGTCAATCTTAAAAAAATCAAACCTGAATATTCACTGGAGGAACTGATGTTAAAGCTGAAGTTCCAACACTTTGGCCACCTGGTGCGAAGAGCCAGCTCATTGGAAAAGACCCTGACGCCAGGAAAGATTGAAGGTGGAAGGAGAAGGGGACGACAGAGAATGAGATGGTTGGATGGCATGACCAACTCAATGGACTTGAGTTTGAGCAAGCTCTGGGAGATGGTGAAGGACAGGGAAGCCTGGTGTGCAGCAGTCCATGGGGTCGCAAAGACTCGGACACAACTGAGCCACTGAGCAACATATCCAGCCAACCTCAAAATAATTCATGAAATTAAAAATCCGTGTGTCACTAAAATCAAATCCCACTAGAAAATGCCTACAAAATTTGAGAAACTTTTTTAAAATATTGATTTTTATGGGTAAAGTAAAACCATAGTACCTAGAAGGATATAAAGCCTTCTTGTCTTTGAAGAGTTCACTGGCTTCTAGCTTCTCTTCATAGATAAGTTTCTGTTGGTCTGTGAATTGGTCCCTGTATTTTTTACACTGTGAGATATGAAAAGAAGAAAAAAAGATATCACTTATATATAAGTAAATCATTACTCACCTTAAATAGGCTAAGCCAATTTAACAGCAGTAAGAGTAAGAGTAAATGTGTATGAGATATTCACTTAAAAGGTCAAGAGAATTTTTCCTTCTTGAGTTTTAAAAGGTTGGTCTTGGAAAATGTCATGAAAACTACTACTTGTGTTGTAGAACTTGCGATGCTTCTTCAAAACATACAAGAACTTCTCTGGCCTGGGCCCTCCTGGGAGGACTGTTTCCTCCCACTCCAACAACCCATAGACATCCACACTCTTTCAGAGACTCACAGGAAGAAAACCATGGTTCATCACAGCCCAGTGTGCATATTTATATACACACATATATACATCTGACACAAAAGCTTCACAAAACAGCACTTATCCTGTCTACATGTCGTGTACCCTGTTATTTTCATTTCAAAATGCTGGTAGTAATACTCCTAAATTGATTTCATGACTCACAAATAAGTTATGATCTATAGTTTGAAAAGCAACACTCCAGACCCTCCACTGCCGTTTCATGACGGGACATCGCTGTTCCTTGTTGTCTAGTCGCTCGGTCATGTCAGACTCTTCTGTGACCCCCATGGACTATATAACCTGGCAGACTTTTCTGTCCATGGAATTTCCCAGGCAAGGATACTGGAGTGGGTTGCCATTTCCTTCTCCAGGGGATCTTCACAACCCAGGGATTGAACCTGAGCCTCCTGCATTGACAGGTAAGACTCTTTACCACTGAGCCACCAGGGAAGCCTGAATGTGGACACAGGGCCTGAGAAATCTCCCCTTCACACTGATTCTGAGATTTACTGAAAGGAGATAGGGGGTGGCATGAGGAGCAGGACCAGTTTTTTTAGATGAACTTTCTTTTTTTTTTTTTTAATTTATTTATTTATTTATTTATTTTCACAACCATAGTGTATCTTTTTTTTTTTTTTTTTACATGTATTCCCCATCCCGGTCCCCCCTCCCACCTCCCTCTCCACCCGATCCCTCTGGGTCTTCCCAGTGCACCAGGCCCGAGCACTTGTCTCATGCACCCAACCTGGGCTGGTGAACTGTTTCACCCTAGATAATATACGTGTTTCAATGCTGTTCTCTTGAAACATCCCACCCTCGCCTTCTCCCAGAGTCCACAAGTCTGTTCTATACATAGGAGTCTCTTTTTCTGTTTTGCACATAGAGTTATCGTTACCATCTTTCTAAATTCCATATATATGTGTTAGTATACTGTAATGGTCTTTATCTTTCTGGCTTACTTCACTCTGTATAATGGGCTCCAGTTTCATCCATCTCATTAGAACTGATTCAAATGAATTCTTTTTAATGGCTGAGTAATATTCCATGGTGTATATGTACCACAGCTTCCTCATCCATTCATCTGCTGATGGGCATCTAGGTTGCTTCCATGTCCTGGCTATTATAAACAGTGCTGCGATGAACATTGGGGTGCACATGTCTATTTCAGATCTGGTTTCCTCAGTGTGTATGCCCAGAAGTGGGATTGCTGGGTCATATGGCAGTTCTATTTCCAGCTTTTTAAGAAATAGATGAACTTTCTAAGAAATCCAGTTCAAGGATGGGTGAGAATCACCCACATGATCATATAAAGGATCATCGGCATTACTGCCCACCCTTGGAATAGATGCATCCTTCTCTCTCTCTACTCCCAAGCCAAGGGAGGTTAAGGGAAAAATTCAGGAGCTAGGGGAAGGAGAGGTGGAGCAGATGCCTAGTATTCAAAACCCCCCATCATTATTTCTGAAATAGTCTCTGTATCAGACTCAAAGCGGGAGGTAGACGTTGAGGTAATGGCAAATCTTGCCAAACTGACTCACTAAGTCAGAGAACAGGGCTCGGTATTCCGTTCCACAGGCTGTGCTGGGAACAATCATTACACTGACTAGTGAGTGATAATGTCTCTCTGTATATTTATATGATTCAGCTAAGAACAAGTCCCAGCATTGAGCAGGAAAGAGTTTCCTGGAAGATGTGTCCATCAATAAACACAAGCCCTTCAACCTAAGACTTCATTCTATCCAAATGACAAATAATTGTACCATTCCATATACCAACTAAGTTACTGAACTAAAGTCAACCTCTATACAACTACCCCACGTAGTCCACACTGAGCACCACCTAAATTACATGTTATGTGTTCATGGAAAATTAAGTGAGCTAAAATATAAGGCCAAATCAAACAGATTTTCAGCTTCCCTTTCACTCAGAGAGAGGGAAATTTCAATCTCTTTAATGTGTTTTGGGTGACTTTAGAGCTTTTCTCCCCAGTCCATCAGAAAGTGCATGTTCTCATGTATGTCTATGTAGTTCTATGTAGAAAGCAAACTCATATAATTTGTGAGACTTTACTATTCACATGAAGATGTTTGAATTTTATCATTTCTACCTCCAGTAGTATTTCTTCACATAAAGATAAAGACAAGAAATAGAACTACTTGAAAGCAACTAGAATCTGGACGGGAAAGACAATGCAGTCCTGGAGACATCACAGGAGCACTGGGGGCTCCGGGAATTCTCACAGATAGCCAAGCATGCTGCTTACTTCAAAATCCTGCTTTTACGTTACCCTCTGCAAACACTCAGATGGCAAGACACCTTTGGAAAAAACATAAAAAGATGGTTTTTACCCTCCACAAGTGGAAAATCCTTTTTAGTTCCTTGTGAGTAGAATCCAAGAACAGGTAAGGTCTCGATGGCCAATTCTTATCTATCGGAGATAAGGAAGGCACCTTATTTTTCATTTCCAAGAAGTATTTTTGCACCTGTGTTGGGTTTGACAGAAAATACCCGGTGAGTCAAATACACCAGAAAAAGAAAACGCTGTCTAATACAAACTGGACTCAAAGAAACCAGTCTTTAGTGGAATTTAGCAAGTTCTGGTCTGTAAAACTTGGTTAACTCCTCTGAAAACTCTCTACTCTACTCTTCTCACTGGCTGGAGAAATCTGAGCTCCACCAAATGGTTAAGGAAAAAGAAAAATAACCAACGTGAATACTAATTTTATTATTATCACCAATACGAATACCAGTCAACACTAGAGAGCTTCAACGTCTAACAGGCAGCCACACATGGCTCGTGACTACTCCACTGAACCACAAAGATACAGGACATTTTTGCCGCTACATAAAGTTCTACTGGACAGCACTGCTCTAGAGCACTTATTCAGGCACTGTGGAAGCTTTACAGTGCGACTTCATCTGAACCCTTACCCTAACTCCACGAGTTAAGTGCTATTACTATCCCCATTTTACAGATGACAAAATGAGGCTTTCAAATCTGTGAGTGGTGGAGCAAGCTGGCTCCATAGTTCGCACTCTTCAGCACTACATCGGTTCTCAGAAAAACAGAGAACTTTAGAATCCATCCTGGGAGAGGGGCACAGCCTCGCTCTCACACACCCCTCCACCCACTAGTCTTGTTTGCCAACCTTGCTCTGCAGTGGCTCATGGCAGTTTAGCAGGGCAAGATCTTGGCATTCCCCTCAAATTCCTATGCTGAAACCCTAGCCCTCAATGGGACAGTATTAGTGGATGGAGGCTTCGGGAGGTAATGAGGTTGAGATGAGGTCACGAGGGCAGAGCTTCCAAGATGGGATTAGCATCCTTATAAGAAGAGACAGGAAAGAGTTTGCTTCTCTTGCTATCACATGAGGAGACCAGGAAGAGGCCCTCATCAGACCCAGACTGCACAGCACCCTGGAGGCTGCACAGCCTCCAGGGCTATGAGAAATGAACGTTTACTGTTTAAGCCACACAGTCTATGGCACTTTTGTCATAGTGGCCTGAATTGAGACACCTGGCTTTCTTGGGCTCACTTTTCCCAAAGTATGTTCTCTCTGTCAAAAAAAGAATATTTGATTAATATTCTCAAATGGGCCTCTTTCTGACATAATTTACCTGAACTTTAGGAGTGATGATAAAAAAAGGTCATATTAAACTCTCAATGTCACCATTAGGATTTAACTGTTACCAGACAAGTCACATACTACTGAGTTGGTGCTATGAACTAGTTAACCCAATAACACTAATTAGCCATATATAAAGTATAAACTTACAATTCTCTGAAGTGTAAATTCATATATTTTCTTGCCGGCATTGGCTCTGAAGAATTTTCTGTACTCCCTGCGTACCTTTAAAAAGAAGCAGCAGAATACAGAGGTTAGTGTGTGGCCAACAGATGCCCATAAAGATGACACACCTCTATTAAAATCAAAAATAAGTGGAAGAAGTAAATTCACAAGTGTCTTTCTGGATATAGGAAAGTAATTGAAGCATATTGAGACAGTGGGGTTTTAAGTCAGAGGGAAAGAAATTAAGAGATGCAAGATAATACCAGAATGTTTTGATGTTTTAAATCCTCTTAACTAGCTTTTAAAGAGCCTGAAGAGCTGATGAGAAACACTGTACAGGCATAGCTGCAAATCCATCAAAAATCAAAATACATTTCAGAAAATATTACATAAGGTAATTTTCACTTCAAACTGTTCTTAAAAGGCAAGAAATGCCTGAAGAAACATATGGCCGTTTCCAACAGGCTTGCATATGAAGACAGGACTTCAGTACTACATACTGAGAAGGGCATATGACTAAAAATAAGAATGTAAAAGGAAGCTTTTGAATGATCATTATCTTCCACTTAATTACATTAATTTTTCTCTCACTCCTACTTCCCACGAAACTTTCTACTAATACTAATCATAGCACTTAAGACATCATATTAGTTTTAGTTTACTATTTCTTCTCTGCTATATTGTCATATTTACTTTGCATGCTAGTGTCTAACAAATAAAATAACTGAGGTGTCTGTCAAATGAATGAATGGGAGTTAAGTTTCATAATTAAGGGGAAAGATTTAAAATGTTTATCATCCAGCTATAAATGGGAGAGTTAGACTCTGGCAAAGTATTTGCCTATTTGAATAATTTAGACATTATGATATATCTTGGCTTTTTTTCTTTTATCTTGGCTTTCTGGGTTTAACAGCACATGTTCAAAATATTTCTGTATTAGGGGCTATAAACTAGCAACCAAGTAACCAAATTCAATTTGATGAAAAATATTTTATATGCGCTTTAACTTAAGACTTTCACATAGGAGTTCAGACTGCAGATTTCTCTTACAGTTCTTTAAGATCTAGCACAGGAGCCCCATTCTCACACATCAAGAACTGAGTGAACCAGGGCGACCTTTCGAAGAGAGCTGCTTGCTCCAAACTGCTGGAAGCCTGTGTTCCTTCCCACCTTTCATCTGCTACTTCCCTCATCCGTGTGACCCACCTGGTGCCTCTGGGCATTTGAGTACCAGACTTATTCTCTACACCTACAGACTTTTAAAGTTTAAAAATTCTCTTATATACCATGTAGGCTGTTCTCCCTTTAATTCATATCTCACGTTACTGATGATCATTTCTGTTGTAGTCATGGAGTTGGTTCGGGGCTTCCCAGGTGGTGCTGGCAGTAAAGAACTCACCTGCCAGTGCAGGAGACATAAGAGACATGGGTTCAATCCCTGGGTCAGGAAGATACCCCTGGAGAAGGAAATGACAATCCACTCCAATATTCTTGCCTGGAGAATCCCATGGACAGAGGAGTCTGGTGGGCTACAGTCCACCAGGTCACACAGAGTAGAACATTACTGAAGTGACTTAGTATGCAGCATATTGTTTATAACTATTTCAAAAAAATTTTATGTTTCATTATTTTATTTTTAAAAAATTAAAAATTTTTTTTTTTTTGCCTCATCATGTGGCTTATGGGATATTAGTTCCCCAACCAGGGAGTGAATCCAGGCCCTCAGCAGTGAGAGTGTAAAGTCCTAACATCTATACCACTAGGGGATTCCCTTTAATCTTAAACTTACAAGGGTAAAAGGAACAAGAAGAATGATACTCATTAACTGGCTCCTAAAATTATAAAATGTACAAAAGCAGAGACGTTAGAGTGAGGTTTCATGAAAACACATCCTTAGAAATGTACTTGAATGTACATTTATATACACTTGAATGTCATTGTAACTGAGCTCAATGCAACATGCTTTGTGATACAGGACAGGCCCTTTTTCCTGAAATACAGCTACACACAGATGCCTGGTGACGAGATGGTACACAGAATGGGTTCCCTTCATGGGCCGCAGGGGTCTCAAAAAGGGTCCACTTCGCAATAATTCCATAAGAATCAATCCTTTAAAAGGGCAAAACTACTGTTCATATCAACAAAACTCTTTTTAAAAAAAATATAATTATTACATTCTTGGACTTCAAAGAAGTTTAATCTTATAATAATCTTATGGTAACACATTAAAATACTCTTGTTTTGTGGAAACTGGGGGAAAAAAGACAGTTATGTCTATAGTAAGGCCAGTTAACTAACTAAAATAGCATTCACCTACAAACTGAATTTGATTTATAAGATGTGAGCACACACTCTTAATATGAAAGTATTATAATAAATACAAAATCATATGTGCAGTTAGTTAAATCCAGAAAACCAAAGATAAATGTGATGTTGCTGGTACAGAGCATTATAGAGAGTAAACCTCCTGACTCAATGCTGTTTGTTCTTTCCTTTTATGAAAATTAGATGCAAACTAGAATGTGAATAAAACAGGAAATATAATCCTCAATTTTGACTTTAAAAAGTCATTTCAGAACTTGTTCAATTCTTGAAATAGAACATCTTAAATTCATATTTAAGTTACTTAATTACTTCAAAATTTGATGAATATTCATTATAATCAAAAAGTTAATTTACTCAAAGTTATAGGCTAAACTTTCAGGGAAAAATGCACACTCTTAAAAGCAGAGTTTATGGATACTGCTAACTCAGTTCAGGCTCAGAGTTAATGGTTTCCTGGATAATATTCAAATATTTAGAAAAAAGTGAATTATTACAGAAAAAAGTAAAAAGAATGAAGAGCAAATATCAAAAAGGGGCCTAATTATCCCCCCAATGACAATATGAATAGCTCCCTACAGTGATGAATTATTGACTCTTAGGAAGACAAAATCCTTGTATTGCCTAAAGGTCATTCTCAAGGTTTTCCAGGGCTTAATCATATTTAGGTACATCCATCCTTACCTCAAGCAGCAAGAACTTCTTTGAAATAAACCCTGCCTTAAATGAGAAGGCATTTGAATCTAAAGTTCTCTGTAACCTGAATGATCCACTGCTGGTCTTACTTGTCAAAACCTGTACATTTATGCAACACCCTTTGGTTTCTGTCCTGAACAATTAGAATGATGGGCACTTTGAAGAAAGCTCTGCTCCAGGAGCCATCAATGGGACAGAATAGAAGGATAAAGGGAAACAAAAGCCCAATATCCCCAGGCTGGTCACTGCAGACAGTGGGTCAGCTTTTAGCTCAACTGCTATAACTCTATCACAAATGGAGGAAAAAAAAAACACTTCATCCTCATGAAGAGGACATTAAATAGAATTTGCATAACAAAGAATAAAATATGCTACGTTACTATATTTAAATAATATGCTATTACTTTAAACCTATTACTTAAAGAAAGACACTGCAATAAAATCAGAAAATTTTAGTGTATATGTTTGCTCTCTAAAGGAAACCAAAGTAGGCAAGGTGTCACTGTAAGACTGTGCAGACCGTCAGCAAGCAGAACTGATCGTTTGGTCAGGGTTAGTAGGTGCTGGAAGGGCTACACCGAGTCAGGTGGATAGAAAGAAGAGGTTGAGGAGGTACCTTCAGTCCAAGCCAGTAAGCCCAAATGACAGCAACTGCATGCTTACGCCTAGCCTCCTCCTTCAAGCGCTTCAACTCCCTTCGAGCCTAGAACGTTTTAGACGGTAAATAAAAGAAGACAGCCCAATGCAGACAGCACAAATGACCAGGAAAAGACACCCCACCAAACAGAAGAGCCACTTTATGTATCAGGATTTCAGAATGAAAGAGAAATGCTGCACAATCATTTAAGTCCAAAGCATCAGTGTCAGGCTGGCGTATTTTCAGGGCACTGAGACTCACTCTCCAAGGAGGACAATCCATGTGGGACCCGAGGGAAACACTTGCTGCCTGCCCCCTTCCTTCCATTCCATTCCTTTTCTCTGCCCTGTTCTCTCTCCCTCTTACATCCTCACCCACACTCTCTCCCTCCCTCCCTCATCAAAGCCTCAGAACTGTAAGTGGCACCTAATAATTTCTGTGGACTCCTCTCTGCTGCCAGTCCATGGGGCTAAAGACACAGTGAATTTCCGAGTCCATTCACTTGAACATATAAAAAGATAACTCTTGTGAACAACCATTTAGAAAACTGGAAGGAATAAAGGTTGCTTCTCTGAAGTTCCAAAAAAAAAAAAACCACCAAAACACCCAAACTCTGCAATTGGAAAACTAGAAGTAGCATGTATCAAAATTCAGTATTAGCTAGGGCCCCAAACAGTGATATATACAGAAGCAAGATAAAAAGTGAAAACAACTCATAGGTTTAAAAATCAACCTGAGGGAAAAATTAATCTGAGGTGTGTTATTTTAAAAGATGAAAACAGATAGGCACTCATGTTTCATGACATGATAGTACTGAGACCAGGAAATGAGTTCACTCAGTGGAGAAATCCCACTGTCCAAGAGACCCTCTGCCTCTGATTCAGTTCCCTCAGTTTATAAAAGGGACTAGCTGGTTCCACACAGATGTTCAGAGGCAAACACAAATGAACAACTTTGGTGAGCTTGTGGCAAGTTAAGATCTTTATGCAGGCAAATTATGTTGACTTTTCTCATTTTTCTCACAATATGGGTTTATAACGCTGACAAGGTAGACTTAAAAACATAGGACTATTGTTGGTATTTGAGTTTCTAACTGGGATTCACATTTTTAGCAGAGATGACCTTTGATTTTCTAAGTAACGAAAACATCTAAAATGCTCGTCCCTTGGGATATGTGAAATGTTCACAGAGCCCACGACTCTGCCTGGGGATTAGTGAGAGTATTTCAGGAGGCCTTTGTTTCTGAACACAAACAGCTGATGCCGAAATTCCTGGGATTCTTCAAGGGCAATTACAGCTAGCTTTGCATGAACATAGCTTTCTGCTAAATCACAGATGATCATTCTTTTCACATATAATATTTTGCTTATAATAATCAATAGCGGCTACAGTGAGCCTAAAAACCAATTTCATTCATGGATTAATATTTTTGCCAAGCATGCATTAAAGGCATTTCTATTATCAGTGTTACAAAGGACCAGTCAAAACCCAAATCTGAATTAAACGTTCCCATCATGCCCCCGCCACACACTAAAACACCTTTAGAAAACCACCAGGACACATCAAGGGGGTAAAAAACAAATAAAAAACTCCCCCCAAACTAAACATGCACGTTATTTGAGAGTTTTAAAAAAAGAGCAGCTATGCTAGTACCTCATTAGTAAGCAATTAAGTCTTTTTTTTGCCTACACGTGCTTAGAGTTAGCTTCCTAACGTGCTCTGTTAGAATGAACATCTCCAGGGTTATTAAATCTCACTGCTAGGACATGCGCCACTGTTAACTGTGGGACTCCATCCCCTGAGACGCTAGAAACATGGATTGATTATTGCAGATTCCAGGATGGGAGTGATGGGATATGCATTTCAAGTACCTTAGATCCAAGCCAGTAAGCCCAAATAACTGCAATAGCATGTTTATTCCTAGCCTCCGCCTTCAGCCGGCTCAGTTCCCTTCGCGCCTGTGATGCATTTGAAAAGGATTTACAGAGAAGTTTAAGGCAAGAAAGGTTACTGCTGGTTCCCAGTGGAGAAAGAGGAAGACAGACACTGTTCACCATCAAAGAGTAAACAAAAGCGTGAGCCACCACCCCACACCAAAACGTTGGAAAGAGCGAGGCAAATGCGTGCTCAGGAGCTTAAGCCAGTGAAACCCGAATGAGGGGGTCCCTTGTTCCACACGTCACTCCTGACCATCTGCCATCCTGGGGGATCTCTGGCCTACCTGGGTGCCGTGCCAATAGGCTGCAATGGTGGTGACGGCTTCCTCACAGCGCTTCTGATGCTTCAGTTCCCGCAGGATTTTCCGGGCCTAAAGCACACAGCATGACCCAGAAAGAGTGAAAAATCAACCAAAAAAAAAAAAAAAAAGAAATCCACCAAAAGAATAAAAAAAACAAACCCAGTGAAAGAAACCCACTTGAAAGAAAATACCTGAAAACATAGTCATAATTCCCATTCTCAAGAGAAAAATCAACAGCTTAAAGCAAGGAAAAGGGAAAGTTGCTCATTAGCCCAAAATGGACCATGAGAAGGAGATAAATGAAGACACTGTCAATCATGACAGTGTATCCCCACTCAGACAGACAGCATCCTCCCTCACTCTGATGAAAATGAAAGTGTCAGTCACTCAGTCGTGTCCAGCTCTTTGCAATCCCATGGACTGTAGCCCTCCAGACTCCTCTGTCCATGGGGATTCTCCAGGCAAGAATACTGGAGTGGATAACCATTCCCTTCTCCGGGGGATCTTCCCCACCCAGGGACTGAACCCAGGTCTCCTGCATTGCAGGCAGATTCTTTACCATAAATCTGACCACAGCAATATAAACTGGATGAGTCCGATGGAAGGAAGAGTTCTCTGAACATGGTGGGTATATAGGGTGGGTCTATCTCGAATGATCCATCAAGAGCCACTTGATCACTTTTCCTATTATTGTCTGGAATGGAAGTGTAGCTGTACTTTTTATTCAAAAGAGATAGCTAAAAACTTGTTATAAAATAAAATTATCTCACTGGTTCAATACTAGTGGCTTCCTTTCAGTCATTGCTGGAAACTGATTACTGTGGGGGGCTAGGAGGACAGCTGGTTTGGAGGTGAATCCTGTGTCCCGCCTCTGAAGTCTCTGGACTGAACACCTGGACCCCAGGACTCAGTAGTATGTCAAAAGAAAAACCCAGGCAGCAATCTCACAAACACTGTGTGCTCAGACCTGTATTTGGCCATTGCTGTGGACAACTATTAATACCAAGTCCCTGGGTTGCCCATAGGCCTAGACAAAGGGCAATGGAAGCCATGGGACTCCCAGTCCAAGGCTCCACCTCCAGAAAGCTCTCCGGGCCTGAGAACTACCCTGAAGCAGTTCCTCTGGATTCAGCCACCTCCACAAAATCACCCAAAAGGAATATGGCAACAACAGGCCCTGAAGTACCTTTGACCCAAGCAGGGATCAGCAAGCTTTATCTACAGAAGGACAAACAGTATGTGTTTTTGGTTTTGTAGATCATATGTTCCCTATCATAACGACCAACTCTGCTGTTGTAGCACTAAAACAGACACAGGCAAGATGTCAAACAAGTGAGCACAGTCACGTCCTGTTGTTCAGTCGCCCAGTCTTGTATAGGAGGTAGTGTACTAATAAAGCTTTATTTACATGAACTTTGCACGTCAGGTATGCACATATTTATATGAAATTTGTATTTCCTATAAGTTTCACATGTCATGAAATAGTCTTCTCTTTTTTTAAATTTAATAATAATATACAAATATAAAAACCATTCTTAGCTCTCAGGTTGTGTGAAAAGAGGCAGTGGACTACGTCTGGCTTGTGGGCTACAGTTTGTGACTCTGAACCAAGCTTCGGCGGGAAGGACCCAGAAGCAGGTGGGGTGGGTGCACTAGGACACCAGAGCTTCGGCTCTTTCAATCATGACAGGACAGCCTGTGAGACTATCACAGGGAGGGTATGGAAGGCACTGGGCTGGGCGTGCTGAGGTCTGGCAGACTCACGTGTACTCAGCCTCATGGACTACAGCTTCCCTTGCAAATAGCAGGTGAGAGGAGATCGACATCATGTCGAGTATTATTTCAAGGACTTCCTGCTCAGAGAACAAACCTTGAAAAGAAAGCAGGAAGCAGCCAGGACATGGTGCTATAGGGCCCCAGCTTGGCCCATAATGTTTATTCTTTCCATCTGACTGTTTACAAGGTGGGCAGGAGACAAGGAACCCTCCCCTGCAGAGTGAGCATGAAGACATCATCCTTTGTAAAGAACATGAAAACCCCACATAAGTAAGGGTCACTTCTTTCAAACTCACCTTCCAACCCCGGATATAAGATTGAATTACCAAGGCAGAGCTCTTTATCTGCTGATATCTCTTCTGTTGCTGTAGGATAAAAGGGGAAGATATCAGCAGTTCTATTTACACATCCACAACACACATACCAAGGAAGAGTCGGCAATACTAAGTCGGCTCACTTAGTGCAATGAACTCTTGATCGTCCATATTCCTTCTGGCAACCAATTAAGTACAGAAGTCTAAATATCCAAGAATCCAAAATTATTATAGTTAATCCAAAGTTTGCTTCAAGGCTGGTAAATACAATTAACCAATGTCTAAATGACTCAGGACCCACCATTATCTCTGTTCTCTGCATTATGTTGTTATAAGACATGGTCAAATGCACAACACACACAGCATGAATGCACACTGACTCTGTAGCTCCTTCTGACCACGCTCTCTTCTTGGCGCCGTTTCTCACCATGCCACTGACTGCGCCAGCCTCTGCCAGCCCACGTGCCTTCTAGGTTTCTAGGTTTGCTGCTTTTACTGCCTCAAGCTGAGAAACCAGCTCACAAATTGAAGCAAACGTTTATCAATCAACTGTAGTTTCTTTATCGAGCTGGTGCTCGGCATCCAGCCCTTGAATAGAACTGTGAAGATGCAGATGTTACCCTGACTGCATCCCTGCACTCAAGGACTCAGAGGGGACACCAACCAGCAGTGGGAAAGAGAAACAGTCTGCCCCCGAGAAACGCGAGCCCAACAGGCAGGTTCAGATGCAGCAGAGATTATCCAGGTGGGCAAGGTTAAGGGAGACCCAGTTAGAGTCTTCCCAAGGGTCAGCAAGACAAGGTTAATGGCTGGAGGCCCTTCTTAATTCCCAGCTGATGTCTTGGAAAGCAGAGGCTGCTGGGACACTAACTCTAGAAAAAGTGTTGACTGTGTTTAGTGGGGAATATTCACTAAAACATGGGCCCTTGGGATGAAGTTTCACAGTTTTTCAAACAAATTACTGAAGCCAGGCTGTGACTCTGACCCTGGAAATGGCAGACTGCCCAGCTCCCTTTCTCTAAGGGGCGACAGATGCTCCAAGTGCTCTAGGCTACGTTCTGGAAGCTCAGAAGAGATGGAGGGTGATGTTATCAATGTATGAGCAGCAGAACAAAAAATGATGCCAGAGAGAAAGGCAGAGATCCTAACAAAGGGCAATGGAAGGCATGGGACTCCCAGTCCAAGGCTCCCCCCACCCCCTGCGGAAAGGGTTCCAGGCCTGAGAACTACCCCGAAGTAGCCCCTCTGGAACCAGCCAGAGAACCTTGTTTCTGGGACCTTGGGCAACTCACTGCCCTTGCTGGCTTCAGTTTCCCCATCAATCAAATAAGGAGTTGGAAAACCTCTAAGATTCCACACAGAAGGATACTCCATGTCTGCAGGGACCAAACTGTACCTATAATACCTGACCACTGCTTCTCACATTCATTTAGTACACCCACGTTTTCTTTTAAAATTCCTACATGGCTTGAAAATAACTCTCTCTTTAAAATTCACCTTAAGGAGCCATGAAATATCACTGAATATGAGTTTTAAGGTAATCAGTAACTGAAAATGGACATTCAAAAAATCTTTGAGTTACTTGGTCAAGGGAAAATCACTGGCTTGGATAACTAGATAACTGATGGAGGTATTACACAGATATTGGAGTTTTTAAAAAAAAATTTTTTTTTTTTTTAACGAATTGAAGGTTCATGGCAACTCTGTGGTGTCAAATGATGGTTAGCATTTTTTGGCAATATTTTTAAATTAAGGTATGTAATTTTAGAGATATAATGACACTGCACAACTAATAGATTATAGTGTAGCACAAACATAACTTTTATATGCCCTGGGAAACAAAAAGATTTGTGTGACTAGCTTTATTGGAACAGTCTGGAAACAAACCCACAAAGTTTTGAGTTTTGCCCATAGTTAAAATTCTGAAACAGAAATAACAGAGCAGTCTAAAGCTTGGGCTATTATTTATTTTCTTTCTAACTCTCAGCATCAAAAATTAATAATACATATGAGGACTTTTTTAAAATCTGGAGATACCAAAGCTTTATGTTGGTATTATCGGTTCCCTTCCTGTTTCTTCTCATCCTTCTGATGAAATGGCCCCTTCCAGAAGGTCTTCCTTGACCACCCCACCTAAAGTAATGTCTGTCTCACTATTATTCTAGATCTCAGTTCTCTATTTCCTTTCCTAGCACTTACTACAATCTGCCATTGTTCTGATTATTTATTTGCTTAAATGCACACTGTTCACTCACTAGACATAAACTGTATGAGGCTGTCTGGTTCACGTTGCTATCCCCTCAGAGTCTGGCAGAGGAGGAGTTTCAAAACTATTTGTAGAATTGAAGACAGATGAATTTAGGATGCTTCAAAACTTGTTTTTTTTTTTTCTTAATGATCTCAAAATAAGAAATAATAAAAATGGGTTCCTTGAGGACTGGTTATTTGTTAGTCCTCCCACTCTAAGCAAACAGAAAACAGAACATTACAAAACTGCCAAAGGGCAAAGGACCACTACTGTGTGCGGCCGGGCAGGCAACAAGAGCCCTGTGGGCCTTTGCAGAACACACGTGAGTAAACTCATCACTGACGTGGCTGGCTGGGGCCAGACCCTAACACTTGTACTGCTGGTTACACTCTTTTAACTCAAGGAAGCAACTTTGAAGATGTTCTTTTAAATATAATTTCTCTTTACTCATTTAAGTAACATTGATTTCTAAAACTCAGAAATTTACACTAAAATGTATTACATGAGAATAGGCCAGCATAAGTTACATTCTAATTATACACTCCTTTAAAGTAAAACTACTCTACAGCTGAAAAAGAAGAACACACTTAAGGAGATTTGATTGCAATTTTAATTCACTCTCCAACCCACTCTCTAGTGAAAAAGCAGAGAATGAAAATACACTCGGCAGCAGCACTCTTATCATGAAAATTCATCTTGGGAGAACACAATGCCAAGTTCAACCTAGCCTAGAGGCAAATCGTCAGGTTTCCCTCAAACCTGTTATGCCGCCAATGAGACACCTATAATTGAGTGAGAAAGAAAATTCCCCAAAGAAATTCCAGATCAATTAAATAAACATACTTTATTTTTGAATCTTTTCCCAAAGGGCCTGATATCTGAGGACTAAAGGAAATCCAAACCTTTACCCAAACCCAGAATTCTACTAAAATGTGGCACTAGCTTTCTGGAATTAAAACTATTTTCAGAGCTCCTACAATAAATGGAGGACAGCCAATTATTTGGGAAAACTGACCCTACTCTACTCAAATGGTTAAATAACATTATCACTTCCAATCTGAAAACCAAATTCAAGATGTAGACCTCCACTACATGTATCTCCATCAGTGGAAAACAGTGGCATGAACTCAACTGGAGCTCTGACTTGTTCTGGACTCAAACCCCATCTAGGCCATTTAGTAGCTGTTACTTAGTTTTCTCATCTTTAAAAAGGGGCCCAGAAGAGGACCCATTTTACCAGGTCACTGGGAAGATTAAGTATTTAAAAGGTACTTTCATTGTTAAGAATGGAACAAACATTCGCAAAAAAGTACCATGATTACACCTCAAAAACGTCATGAGCTCTTACCGCGTATCTCCTGAACCAGGCAGCAATCACAATTTGGCTTTTTCTCATCAGCAGGAAATGTGTGCGACATTTCCACCCCCGATAAATCTTCTGAATGAGAGTGGCCAGGTCCTCAAGCCGTTGCTTCCTCAGGTCTTCTAATTTGAATAACTAATAAAATAACAGATGGATTTATCAAAAAGCCACCAAAAACCCATGGCATACACAAATGTCATTCTCAAGAAATAAAATGTTATGATATTGTAATGGACCACATTGAGCAGAGAAAAAACTTAACTATAGATAATATGGATTGTAGTCTAGGGAAAACTATTTGGATGAATTCATGCAAGATACATAATTTAGGGTACAGTGTTTTACAAATGTTTTACAAAGTGTTTTACAGTGCTTTACAAATGTTTTACAAAGTGTTTTCTCAGTGTTTTACAAAGTGTTTATGACAAATCACATAAGGGCTTAACTGAGCTCTAGATGTGCCTTCACACTATCAATGAGGATGAAGTTGTTAACAGAAGGGAGGTGCTTTCAAACGACTGCCGAGGTTTCTTTCAAGTGATTTAAACACTTCCGTATTTCACCATATTTCCAATAAACCGCTATGCTCATTATATTTCATGCTAGTCTCTTCAGTTATAAAAAGGCTCAATTGGAATTCTTTAATAAGTAGAGTTTTAAGCGTTCTTAGCTTAAAAAATTTTTTTAATTTGGGTGCCTTCATGTACCTCTAAATGGTAGAGTTGTCTTTCCTAAAATTACTGTATAATTCAGACATTACACACACAGACTGAATTAACCTCCAATTTTTATGAACAAGGGAGGTCTTACTGTAATATCAGTTTCTTTATATTTTTTAAATATTACACCATCTATCAGCTCAAAAATTTTGATGTTTCATAAAAATACATGTGTTCTTCCACTACCCCTTATTAAGCCATCTACTTGGACATTTGTAGAAAAACAAAAATGTGACATTCTTGGTAGCATCTTGGGTAACACTATAAAGTTAAACATCCTTTAAGAACTTGCTTACATGATTATAACACAAATGCAAAATTACATACTGTTCTTGGGTTTCTAATGAATATCTTTGATCTACCAAAGGAGTATTCTTCCACAGGAATCTCCAATTCATTAAACAAAACTTCCACACCAGCTCTATAAAAATAAATGAAAGCAATACATTCTCTGAGTTATAAAAATAGGTTATCTTATCTTAAACCATGATATCAGGTTCTCAGCAATATTAAAAAAAAAGTTTCATTTCCAAGTATAACTGTTTTTTCAGTAAGCATCCTTTCATCAAAGAATTCCCAGATTGAATTCCACAAATTTAACCAAATCCAGGGGAAAATGCTAAAAAAAGCATTTTGGGTTCAAACTACATATTCTAAGAAAATATGGTGTTAAAGTGAATTTCTTGATTTCATTTGCAGAAGTGATCAAATATACTCATAACAATGGGTCAACCAGGGCCAGAAGAGTATGCAAGAAATTCACATTTATTTTGAATCCTCTTAGTCCCTGTAAACATTTTTAAGCACTGCTCCTACTACTCAGATTGCAGGCAGGGACCAAGAGTGCTAAGCAGCAGGCAATGGAATTCAAAAGAACACAAGCCTTATAGGATAGAAGCAAGGGCCTGGACTTGGCTCTAACCTCTCCATCCTAGACCCTGGATTTAAAGTCAGTCTTTAGCCCTATACTCTGTCCCACCAACTTGTGGACTGGATACCAGGCAGGGAATGAATACCTGTTCTGTGTATTATGGTAGACAATGACCATAATACCCTGGAAATTAGCAGTGGGAAATGACATAGCACTCAGACCCTAATTACTTGGGCATTGAATTATGCATCAGAGATCACACTGTAAGTCTGGAGTTTATCTTCTTGCAATATGAGGTGAGCATGTAATTCTACTGATGCTCCTGTGAAAGGTCAGGTGCACTGACAATGTGGAGGCACAACCAGTACAGTGAAAGAAAATCCCCATCAACAGCACGTTGGCCCTGCTGTAGTAGCTGGGAAAGCTTCTGTGGCCTGCAGAAGAGTAACTTCTGACTTGGTGAGAACAGAAGGCCCCTGCACAGACAGGGCCTGGATTCTCTCCTGCAGCAGCCCCCCCACAAGCACCCAAGTTCTCTCTGCTTGGGTCTGCAGTGGTCCAGTGCTCTGCTGGGCCTGGATGGGTGAGTGCAATGTAGGGCGGATGAGCTGAAAAGACACATGGCCCTGAGTTCTGCCATATTCTCCAATCCAGTTTTACTTGCAATAACACTGACACTGTGAACAGAACAGATACAGAACACAGAATAGATATACAGTGAAGTGAAAGTCGCTCAGTCATGTCTGACTCTCTGCGACCCATACAGTCCATGGAATTCTCCAGGCCAGAATACTGGAATGGGTAGCTAGCTTTTCCCTTCTCCAGGGGATCTTCCCAACCCAGGGATCAAACCCAGGTCTCCCACATTGCAGGCAGATTCGTTACCAGCTGAGCCCCAAGGGAGGACACAAAGGAACAGATAGAACTGCTCCTATATCTATTTCTTAATTGGTACAGACTTGGGCAAAAAATGGGACCCCCACTCCCTACTCACACTCTCTAGGGTTAATTCTCCAGGAAAAAAAAAAAAAAGAAAGAAAAGCTGAGAGCAGTGATACAAGATGCCTCTAACTCTACCCTGCTATGATTCTACACAAATACACTTATCAATCACAAATTTCCCTTCTGCTAACTCGCCACAGCATTTTTTTTTCTTTATTTTTTTTTCATTTATTTTCATTAGTTGTAGGCTAATTACTTTACAATATTGTAGTGGTTTTTGTCATACATTGACATGAATCAGCCATGGATTTACATGCATTCCCCATCCCGATCCCCCCTCCCACCTCCCTCTCCACCCGATCCCTCTGAGTCTTCCCAGTGCACCAGGCCCGAGCACTTGTCTCATGCATCCAACCTGGGCTGGTGATCTGTTTCACTATAGATAATATACATGTTTCAATGCTGATCTCTCAATATTTTAGTTCTATTGACATACAAATTCCAAAGGTAGATTTGATAAGCCCTGTTTTAACCTTGAAGACCAAGCGCTCTATAATTAACAAAAATTGGCACAAAATGGTATCCTGACAGAAGATGGTCCAAAACAGAAATTACATCCAACTCTTCATAGGATTCTGTTTTGCCTGAACAGCATGTGAAGAAAACAACACAGTATTTGTATGTTTTAAAATTTCATCACTAAATGTGATTAATGAATGTCTTACCTTGCTGGTCCTTTCCAGTGAGGCCATGTTTGCTTACACAGCATTTTGTATCTTTCTAGGCAAGGTTCATAGGCCTGCCTGAAGGCATAGCCTGCCCTTCTCACGCGGACATTCTCCAAAAGACCCAGATACCTGACCTGATGACACACTAGGCCCTCATTGAAGATGTGTGCTGCTTTTTTATCATTCGGTTTGATACACCTGAAAGATTACACAAATTTTAGGTTTCAAACTCTGTCCCTTACAGACTGATCTGTCCATGTTTTACAAAGTATCACATATAATTATTTCACAGTGACATATTACTTATTATTCTTGGAAACCTCATCATTTCCTTTGAAATTATTTCAGATCATTCTAAAAAACATTAAGATAAATACACTGTAGACTCAGCGATAAAAAAGAATAAACTCTTACGTACAATAACATGGACAAATACCACTGACATTCTGTTGAATGAAAGAAGTCTGATGTATAAGAGTACATATTCTATGATTCCATTTATATTAAGTTCTAGAGAAACCATTCCTAGTGAGAACTTGGCAGTGTGTTACCTCTGGGGAGAGGAAGGGGTGAAGATGGACAGGGAAGGGGCACAAGGGAAACTTCTGGGTTGATGGAAATGTTTTATATCTTGGTCAGGATAGGGCTACATAGTCATAGAAATATGTAAAAATTCAACAACCTGCACAGTTAAGCTTCATATATTAGATTGCGTATATGTGTATTCCATACTTCAATGAAACAGTTAAAAACATTGCTATCTCATTAAATCCCTATTATCTCCCTCCTTTTAAACGGAGCACTTTGCTGCCCAAGGAAAGACTAGATTTTCCAGCTTCCTTTGTAGGTAAGTGTGGCCATGTGACCAAAATTCTAGCCAGGGCAGAAATGATGTTTGCTACTTCTAATGTATCGTTAAAAGGAACTTGGTTCTCCCTTTGCTCTTCTGCTAACTGCTCGTCGGCATGTTGACATGGTAGAGAGCTATCTCTGACTATATACATAAGAGGATATAGCCTGGATATGGCAGAGCCTCAACACAGAAGACATTGCTCTATTAGCCTTGGAGTCTGTACACTTAGAAGTTACATAAGAAATAAGTGTTAATCTTGTTTAGGCCCCTATTATTTCTGGATCTTGCTGGAGCAATCTCTATATCCTACTTAGTATACTGTTAAACATTTATGGTTTTATCTGCCTCACCATAACTGTCAAATAAAATCCACATGCATATATAATATATGGACAACCAAATCTTACTTAGTTTGACCCTGGTGTTTTCTATGATTGTCCTTTTTACATTTATAAAAATAATGCCTACTTTTTGGCTTAAGAACAAACAGATCAATGGAACAAACTAGTGAGTTTAGATCTAGATGTCTACACATATATTCAACTGATTGTCAATAAAGGCAACAGGGCAAATGAGTGAAAAATAGAGGTTTGGTTTTTTTTCTTTTCAATGTATGGTGCCAGAACAAGATACCTATCTGGGAAAAATAGACCTTAAAATGAATCTGAAACTGAGTTTAAAAATAAAAATATATATACATACATTTAAAATGATATACTCACAACGTTGGAGTTTATTAATTAAAAATTCTTAGAGACCCATTAAAACCACTGAAAGAGAAGGAGAAGAAAGGAATTTTCTGGGGGTGATGGAACATTCCATGTCTTGATCTGAGTAGTGATTACCAAAGTGTATTCAGTAGTGAAAAAACAATGGAGCCATTCACCTAGATCTGTACATATCACTCTATACAAATTATATCTCAATTAATAGAATCGTAAGGTTTAAAAAAAAAGTTGACTCAAATGAGAATAACAAAAGACTAATTGCACAAAGTTTCTTGGTTCACTTTTTTGAAACTAGGATCCTTACCTAATATATGTTCTAACCTGTTTGCAACCAAACCGGGGGATGCTATTTACATTTGCTATGAACACATATATTAGGGCAACAAGCCAAACATGAAAATATTCTTCATGCTAACTTCCTCATAACTGAATTTTCAAAGACAACAGGAGAAAGTATGTGTGGGCATGCATGTGCCACATGAAACTTGACCTGTTAGACACACACCCTCTATTACCTAGTTCATCAAATACACATATCGCAAACTCTAAAACTAGTCGGCCTTTACTGAATGTTGAAATCTATGACGACTTAGAAGCAAAAAAAGAAACCAGATTTTTTAAAAGGGGTTCTTGTCCTGTTTTGAAAAAATTCCGATTGTTTCAGAAACCATTACATGAGGCACATGCTTCCTCATACAAGACCTGCAACTCAGGTGTCAATGGTCCAAGTCAATATTACAAGAATCCAAAATGAATCCAACAGAAGAGTTTATGCAAAACCTTATCAGAAATAAACTTATATTTTGTTTCCTGTCTTAAAAAAAAACAAAAAAAAAGAAAGTTGAGAACTCCTGTATGCCAACAACCCAATTAAGTATCTATTCCCATCCCTGACACACTTTTTTTTTCCTTTTAAAAATTCCTTATTTTGGGGGGCACTGGAGTATTTTTCAAGCACACCCAAGACACAATATGATTTGACCTGTAAGTACTTTAGTTACCCCTCTTCTTGGGCTACACTCAGATTTAAGCAAACAGGAAAATGATCTTCCTTGTGAATGCCTTCATAATTGAATGGCCAAAGAATTTTATGTGCCAGAAATACCTAATGTAGTTTGGATTCTTGGTCTGTAGATTTTTCATCAGAGTGGCTACGGATGCTTTGAACTGTGAGCCGGCTGTAGGAGGCCTTTTCAGGTTGATCTTGGCAGGGTTTCCTTCAGGAAACAAAGATTTGATGAGGGCGTGTCCGGCCTTCCACATGGCTTGGGACAGGTCCCGATAGAGAAGATCGTTGTTCTTGTCCACAAATCCTTCCACTTGGTACAGCACCTGTGAGCAGCACATGGGACTCAGTAGCTGATACGCGCACACCAGAGCATCAAACAGCTGTTAAAAATATCCTGAGACCATCTATCCTGCAGCCTCTTTCTCCATCAAAAATCCTCAACATGTTAGTCACACTCTAATACCAAATTAGCCTCCAAGTTTAAATTCCATCTGTCTAAATCACAGAAGAGTTCAAAATAAATTCTATTACCCTTCAGGATTTGCAAGAATAAACTTCAAAAATGTTATCATAACATTTTCAAAGGATTTTAGGGTTTTTTTGGTATTCAATCATATTTTTGAGGTTTTACTTGTATTTTTTAGCTTACATGCGCCAATTCGAGTGTGTTTAAAAGGAGACAGGGGAAAACAGAGATAACATTGATATTTTTATAGATACCTTACACTAGCAGGGAAATTGACCAGAGAAGTATCTTTAATAACATGGGCTAGTGAATAAAAAATGAAGTACCAAGTTCCAACATTTGAAATTAAAGGTAATTTAGATACTATATACTTCATATTTGGGAATCCCTGGTGGCTCAGTGGTAAAGAATCTGCCTGCCAATGTAGGAGACTCTAGTTCGATCCCTGGGTCAGGAAGATCTCCTGGAGAAGGAATGGCAACCCACTCCAGTATTCTTGCCTGGAAAATTCCATGGACAGAGGAGGCTGGTGGGCTACAATCCATGAGGTCACAAAAGAGTCAGACCATGACTTAGAAACTAAACAACAGCAACGAAACAACTTCATATTTACTAAATACAAAATCAGATTTTGTTTCTCCTTTGACGTCTGCAAGCTTATTTAAATAATTACTGTAGGGACTTCCCTGGCAGTCTAGTGGTTAAGACCCTGCCTTCCAATGCTGGGCTTGTCGGTTAGCTCCCTGATTAGGGAGCTAAGATCCCATATGCCTTGCAGCCAAAAACCCAAAACATAAAGCAGAAGCAGTACTATAACAAATTCAATAAAGGCTTTAAAAATGGTCCACATCAAAAAAATAAATAAAATTGAAAAAATTAAAACCTTACTGTATGTCTTTAGTGACTGCTAATTTTTACTGGCAAATCTTCTATGTGTGTCAATGGATCTTTTTTATAGGCTAGCTCTGAGCCTGAAAATAATAAAATTTATTTTTTAATATATACTTGAACTCTTTGATTAGGTCCACTGGCTTTCCTTATCTCAGTACTAGTAAGATTTTTCTCAGTATGGTCCAGATTCTATGCCCACTGAACATTCATGGATTCTACGCCCCCTCAGCAGCTCCATTTATCTTCCAGAGCTGGTGCTGGTCAGAATGCCATCTCGGAGGCAAGGTGTCTGCCCTCCAGGGAGTAGCTGTGACCTCCCCGGGCTCCCGGGCTCCCACACCTTGCCGGCATAGTGCTGGATCCTGAAGCAGCTGTGAGGAAGGGACGTGTCATTGAGGAACCGGGAGCACTTGCTCATCCTGCTCTCAAAATGCTGGTGGGTGGCGCAGACTTGGTTCAGCTTTTCCAAGAAGGTCTCATCCGTGACCGTGCCCGGCCTAAGGCACTCTTCATCCAGCATGGCCAGGATCCCGTTTGTGTTCTAGGAGAAAGGAAATAAAAAGGTTTCCTTCCTTCCTCACTGTATTGTTTTCATAATTATTCCTAATTATGCTGTTAAACACAATCATCTTAGTCATAAGAAAATTTCTGTTTTGTTACAACAAAAGCAGAGAATCAAAACAAATAACAAAAGAAAAACACAGGAATCAACCCCTTCCAGGATGTCCAGGTGTGCTGGGGGAGGGGGCAGGAGTGTCTTTATGAGGTTCCCCCCTCTTCCCCGGTCAGCGGTGCCTCCCCCACAGAACAGGACGTAGGAGTCACCTCAGCCACCTGATGACTGAAACTTATGTAGTTTAGAAAAAGGCAACTTACACCACAAAGACCAAAAAACAAATCTGAAAGTCAGGAACTAATGTGACACTACTATCTGTATAACATGCGGTCATAAATCACAAAGCACTGTCTTCTAAGGCTATGCGGTCATAAATCACAAAGCACTGTCTTCTAAGGCTATTATTTGATTCGTAGCTTGAGAAGGAAATTGGTTTCAGATGTTTCCAAATTGCTCACGTGTTCAAAACAGTTTATTTTCTCTGGGAAAAAAAGTGATGTGATTGGGATGCTGCTTTTAATGATCAACGCAATCAAGCTATGTTTCAAGAATCATCTGTTTAGAATAAAATTCTCCTTCCATATTAAATTTCAAAATGGATGTTAAACATGAGTTGAGAATTTGTTTGCTGAGTATTCAGACCCTGTGATCATATTTATCCCAAGAGCTGTCAGCCCAACTAAACCGAATAAAAAATAAGAAAACTTCTACTTTGCTAAATAAAGGCTGTTGTTCCTTCGATTGCCCACACATCTCCATTCCACGGAGAACAATCTACTGACCATCAGCCCCACCCACTTCCGCTAGGGCAAAGCCTCATGGCTCTCCTCTTCTCTTTACAAGGCCGTGACATCCTCTGACCAGCACTTAAACATTCCACACACAAAATCTGGGGAAGTGTGGACTCTGAGGAATCAAGTTCATAACATCCCCAGAATAAACATTATTGTTAGATGTTGCTGAAAGGAAACATTTCCTTTATGTATCCAGGCTCCTACGCAGACATGAGTTTCTTTAATCACATATGCAAGGGGATTTGGGGCTGAGATAATTTAGCTATATTAGCTGTATGACCACTGTTCCTTTTTTTCCCCTCCTCTCTTCTTAAAGGGAAATAATTAAGTGCAATGTTATATTGATGAAGAAAAAAGTGTTAGTCACACTTCTGAAAGTTAAAATTCCCTCAGCAAATTACTTCGGTCACAACTTACCAGAAAAACTTTTCAGGAAATTGATTGATTTTCTACATTTTAGACTACAGTTTTAAACTGCTTAGGTGGAATACTAGTGTTCACAATCCAAAACTGTCCAAATTTTCCAAAACAAGGCTTATTTTTTAATTGAAAAATAATAATGGCTCAGAATTTTTTTTTAATTCAATAATCAAAGGTGCAGCTTTCAAGAATATTGTGAATACTGAAGGAAAAGATATTGGTGAACTCTGTAATATTCAAAAACATCTTGTTAAAGATGAACAGCAAACGACTTGTTTGACATTTAGAGCCTGTGATTCTACTGCTGAAACACGGCACTCATCTATGATGAGAGCTAAGTTTATGCATTACTTCAAATGACTCTGTTATCAAGGTCGGGATCCTAAGCTTTTACACACAAATGAAGTCTTCTCGCCATCAATTCATTCATAAATAAACTACAGAATATGATGCAAACACAAAAGTCTTAGATTTGGCAAGGCTACTAAAAATGATGCAGTACTTTTTCACACCTTAAGCCTTTCACAGGCATAATTTGTAACCTGAAAAGTCCCATGGCCCTCAGCCACCTGTAAGTCACACACACTGTCCATCACATCCCTAAAGCAAGGCCGTGATCCATATCAGCCACCCCTGGGATCCTAGGTAATTCAGCTCCCGAGATGGTGCCTTTATCTTCCTTTACTTTAACTTGAACTGCATGGGGTTTTGTTGTTGTTGTTGTCAACTTTTTTGCAGTTTTACTGAGATATAACTGACATAAGACTGTGAAAGTTTAAGGTGTGCAACATGTTCATTGCTACACAACCATATTGCTAGTTACCTCCATCACATCACATAATTACCATTTCTTTCTTTGTGGTGAGAACATTTAAGACCTACTTCCTTAACCACAAGTATATATAATACAGTGTTGTTAACTCTATCACCATGCTGTACATCAGAGCCCAGAACTCATTCATCTTACAACTAGAAGTCTGTACACTTTGGCCTACATCTCCCTATTTCCCCCAAATGTTAGCCCCTGGCAATCACTATTCATTTTATTCTGTTTCTGAGTTTGTTTTTTTTTAACTTAGATTCTATATACAAGTGATATCATACAGTATTTGTCTTTCTCTGACTTCTTTCACTTAACATAATGCCCTCAAAGTCCATCCTTAATGTCACAAATGGCAGGATTTCCTTCTTTCTCAAGCCTGAACAATACTCCACTGTATATGTACACCACATCTTCTTTACCCATTCATCTGTGGACGGACCCTTCAGTGGTTTCCCGAATCTTGGTTGTTGTGAGTAAAGCTGCAGTAAATGTGGGAGTGAAGATACTTCTTTGAGATCCCGATTCTGTTTCTTTTGGATATATATACCCAGAAGTGAGACTGCTGGGTCACATAATAGTGCTATTTTTAATTTCTCGAGGAACCTCTATACTGTTTTCTTATCTTTTTTTCCTCTCTCTACAGTGTTTTCTATAGCAGTTGCATCAATTTACATTCCCACCATCAGTAAACAAGGATTACTATTTCACCACACCCTCACCAACAATTATCTTTTTGATAACAACCACTGAATAGTATGTTAAGAGGTCACTAGAATTTTAGGAACGGCATATTTTGATTTGACAAACATCTTTTTTATTGAGTTTCCTATGATCAGGGCTCTTATTTCGAGGAGCTGTGGATTGGACCTGGGATCCCAGCACATAAGATAGAATGGTATACCTAAGGGCATAGCATCTGAGTGTCAAGAACGGGCTCTGTGATACGGCAATAGGACAAGCATGAGGGAATACTAGCTAAGTATCAAAATGTCTAGCTGTCTATGTATGTGTTCAAGAACTGTGTGTAATTTCTTAAGCTTGTGATAAAGTTCTGTCTCCACAGCACTCTGTATTCTCTAACATGTTCAAATACTGGAAATACTAATGCTTAACATTGAAGGCAGTCAGATCATTCATAACTAGTGAATTATACTACCAAGAACTTGTTAGAAAACTGTACTTTATACTCACATTTTCTATTAGGTCACAAATGATAGCATTATTGAAGTACTCAATGTGAGTCCATTCTATGTCCTGAAAAAGAAAAAAACAGAACATAATCAAATCCCATATAATGATGCTACAACACTACTATCTATAATACAAGACTTTGCCCATCTTACTATCTTCCACTTCCTCTCTGAAAATTTCCTTTATAAAAGTCAGTGTGGCAAATGTCATCTTCTGGTTCCCAAAACTCTAGTAATGCAGCAGTCTAGCACAGACATGATTCGATTGAAATAAATGCCCTTGACCTGAGCTGAGACAGCCTCCCCTTCCAGACTCCCATCTGTGGCAATTTCCCATGCACTTTGCTGGCTCTGGGCCATTTACTCACCAGGCCCTCGGGTCAATATTACTTTGTGTATATTTACAGTGTTTATAAGGAAATAAGTCAGAACTTGAACCCAAGAATCTAAGGCCTAGATTTTTCTGTTCTTAATTTATAATCACAAGGAAGAAATTCATTTTAGAGTCAACCCCATGTTTAGGGCCATTAACTATTTCAAATGTAAAAATAGAACACTGCTAAAAAAAGTATTTTCAACAGAAAGAAAAAATGAAAACCTAGGCACTGGTTCTAACACTAGCTACAAAGCCAAAGCTGGAAGGCCAAATGTAAACATTCTGTATCTGCTTACACTCTGTCCATAAGTGTAAACATTTATTTTTCCTCTAAGGGGAAGAGAGTTAATTCATACTACAAGCTAAGGATCTTCCTATATACTCTTAGAACTGGTTTAGACAATCTGTACAAACTGTTTTAAGTTACAGATCAAAGTTTCGGTATTCGCTTTAGGATGAGAAGACAGGAAGAGAATGAATCTGGCTTTTAGGATGTTTATGTTAAAAAAGGTGTCATTCAAGTATAAAATGTTTCTAAAGCATGATAATAATTCCAAATGGTAGATAAATATTTATGATTTAGTTTTTCAGTAGATGAGTTATTTTACTAAGTCACTGGGGATAATATTCACATTAGAAAAATCTATACTGAGAGGCCATAAAAAGAGGATTCTGTGTCTTTAATGACCTAAAATGACACTATAGAAAAATGAAGAAAAATAGGTAATATTACTAAAATATTAAAGCAATAAATGAAAGGGAAACAAAATATAATGCAATACAGATACAATAAAATTTCTCCTTTTGTCTAAAAATAAATACATTTATACATAGAAAAATGTTGGCTATTACAAAAAACTCAAGAGGGTGAAAACCAAGTATGTGTTTTAAAATTAAGGATGCATGTACTCTGTAAATATTACTTGATTATTTTCCAACTACATCTAAATCAGATAATATATCCACAGCACTAGCATTAATACCTGCTTTTCATTAAAAATTTTAGAAAATCAATGCTTTTAAAGAGTGAACAAAGTCTTAAAATATTTTCAAATTGATGCACAAGACTTTTTTGGGGTACTGTTCTCTCAAGTTTGGGCAAATGCGTGGCGTCAGGTAACCACCACCACCACAACCAGCCTCCAAAATTCCCCCAAGCTGCCCCTCTGTAGCCACACACGTACCCCCTGGCCACTCCTGACTATTATGTCTCTATCACTGGTGCCTCGACAGCTCTGACTTCTCTAAAATGACACACAGATAGGCTCATAAATATGTAGCCTTTGAATCTGGCATTTTTCACTTAGCAAAATGCATCAGAGACTCCTTCATGCTGTTGTGTGTATCAGCTGTTTGTTCCTTTTCATTGCTGAGTAATAGGACCTTGTACAGATGTACGACTGTTCTGTTCAATCATCTCAGACTAGTTTCTTAACAGGGCACTATTTTATTTCACTGCACTGGAATCCCATGAGACTCAAGTCCATCAGCTGATGTCCACTGAGCACCTACTATGTGCTGAGCACTGTCCCACACCCACAGCAAAGAAGTTCCCAGTCAGCTTAGATGTCGTAACAAACAAGCTTTAAAAAGGTACTCGATACATCTGATTGTAAGCTCATGTCTGAATAGCCTTCTGAAACCAGAATTTGTATTATGAGTTAAAAAAGGAATACTTAAAAACTTTTTTCAACATTACCTCCCGTATATACTCCTCTTGCTCTTCTTTAAGAGTCAGCTCAATGAAGATTTGCTGCAGCTTTTCATTACAGTAATTGATAATGAACTGCTCAAAGCTGTTGTCCTATATGGAGAAAAATGAAGACAGCCTTATAAAGCATGCCAGCAGCACTCCCACGACAACGCAACTCTAACATCTCACTCCACGAGAAATGTCACGCACTGTCTTGTGGACCTAACCGCGGCCCAGCACACAGCTCCCGGACAGAGGCTGAGCACACTGCAGGCACGTGAGAAACGATTCACGAGTCAAGTGAATGAATGAAGGTTACACAAGTTATGCAGTTTTTAGAGAATGAAGAATTTTAGTTGACAAATAAGCAGCCCACATATGGTAAAAGTGAAAAGTAAATACATTCCCCCAGAAGATCAGCAAAGAAACAGCGAGATTCTTCATCTCGGCCACCCAAGTTCTGTCTTCCATTCTCAGGTGAAACTCTGGAGCTCAAGAAATTCTTTCTTTCTGAAAGAGCTCTTAGAGCTCTTAGTCCCCCACCCAGGGTCACATCCCTCATTCTGACTCTTACATACCAGCACTTGTGAAAAATCATGTTATGTGTACATATGCATGTACATGTGTATTCACACCTTTTGATTAGTTTCATATTAATCAGTCTCACTGGATTTTACATTTCAAAAGGGTTGACTATACATCTCTTGCTCACCAATGGAAGCCCATGCCTGCAGCAACTTGCACCTGAGCAAGCCCTCATTGTGTACTGGATGAGTGAATGAATGAATGGAGGGCTCACAAAATACAGACTCAAGGGACTCAGTACATCAAAATCATCCCCTAGCTAGAAACAATCTCCTCTCAGAAGGGTCACACATGCTGCACTTTTATGTTTCTCAGCAGTTTCTTCGTCACAGTAGAGTTATCGCCTAGGACGATCCATTCTTACACCATTTCTGAACAATCTGCAGGTCTTAATGTATTGCTGTTCATATAGAGGGCACAAAATGCATGTCTGTTGGATGAAAACACTTCACCAAGAACCACACCATTCAGAAAGAAGCATCTCTGGCAAATAAAACTCATGATTTTCACCTGTGTCCCCCACACAGGGACACGGTGGCAGTGCGGGTAAGAGACGGCAGCACCACTGACTCTTCTCCCACCAGGGTGGGCAGTCCTGGCCTTGAGGCTAGGAGCGGCCACCTGTAACGGCAGGACTGAAGCTCGCCATCCTCTGTGAATACTCAGCAGCTGCCTTCAAATCTCTCCATACACGATGAAATCAAAAGTCGTAGGTTTCTGAAAGCTGACCTTTCAAAATCAAATTTAGTTTAACCAGGACAAATTGTAAAACGATACCTAGGAGGGAAAACCTAACCACATACTGTCCTATAGGTTGGCTAAGGATTTCTAATCACTAGTAAACGAATTAATCCAGGGAAATTTTAAACTCTAATCCATAAACTACACATAAAATATATTATCACTGATTAATCTTTTAGTGTTAAATGTTGAAGATAAAAGTTGTGTTTTTTTTTTAAATCCTGAAGGTTCTTACTTAAAAGGCACACAATTATCACCAGAACATTCAATAAATATAGTCCTGGACATGAAGGTCATTCCCCAGCACTCATTTTCATGTAAAGTTTTAAAAACCAAGTGCTCCAATTCTCAGATATTAATTAATTAATCTAGCAGACTAGCAGCTGATGTCAGTATGATCTATCAACAGATGCCTTATTATAATCAGTGTAAGGCCATTTATGAGAAAGCCTGGCTTTCCTAGTTTGGTAAAATACATCTGTTTACAGTGCTACTATCCCAAATTAACACTTGTACATAAAATTAAAATTTTAGTGATTTATAGGAGCAGATCTTTGTTTTTGTTTTAATTCATGGAGTAATTCCTTTCTGTTATTTAACAGGTTTGTATCCATGGAGCTATTTAAACAAAATTATGCTAAATTTTCAAATGGTAACTAGTGAGAAGAAGGGAGGGGAGAACAACTGGTGTCCTTGACACAGTATGTGGCTGTGAGCAGCTGGAGATATGCCTCCCGAACAGGACTATGAGATAAATACACACAAGCGAATTAGGAACCAATGCAAAGCTTCACAATCACAATACAACCTAAGGCGTAAATCTGAGCTAAAGTAAGTTTCTCCTCAATTTTTAAAAGTTCTTGTATGAACTTTTTGGTAAGTTCTTCTATAATACACTTCATATCCACACACAGTTAATCAATGGCCATTTACTGCAAAAACTTCACACAGTTGGAGAAGCTATTAACACAGGCGCATGCAACAGAGCAGCAATGCACACAGTCCATACTTACTGCATTCTGGGGCACAAAGGGACAGATCACACAAAATGCAGTCAGTTCTCAATTTGCAATGGACTTCTAAAAGTAAACTCTGATGGATAGTTATTTATTGGTGCGTATGACAGATTTTATCATCCAGGCTATATTTCTGATTGGCACAAACCTTGAGATCAATACATGTGTCCCATCAACTCAAAAGACAGGATCACAATACCTACTCTACATGTGGTATCTGAATTAGAGTTCTGCTAGGTGACAGCTACTCAGGATAGAAGCTGTTTGCCTGAAATAATATATCATATACCCTGCCTGAAGTCCTAAGGCTTCAGAATGTAGTACCTCTAACGCTAAATTATCAGCAAAAATAAAATGTGTCTGACATATTCACTTAAAGACTTGTGGACAAAGTTGGCAAGTCACCAAAAGAGTGAAGAGGTTCATCGAGATCCAGGGTACTCCTCCCCTCTTTCCCACCGCGGTGACCCATTCCTGTGGTACACGTGCTGTGTCCCCTTCAAATACAAACAAGAGGGATAGGAGAGTATTCTGGAAACAGCCTAAGAACAAAAACTTGACTCTGACCTCAACTTGCTGCATACAGAACAAAACCCAAAATCAATAGCACAGTCAATAAGGCAAAAGCCAGCGTACTTATTAAAACACCTTGCATTTGTTGCAAATCTACCTCACAGACTCCAAACATGCCATGAACTGTCAAAGAATGATTCATTATTGCTGAAAATGAAGGCAATCATATTTCCTGTAATTAATGTTTACATTGTTGACAGTGTCCCAAATTTTGGGGAAATGAGACTTCACAAATCATTAAATGTAAGTTGCAAAAATTTACAATTTGCAGAAAGTTAAAGAACAGTCTGGTACTAGTTCATACAGGTGCAACTTGCACATACATAATTTCTTCATTTATATAAGCATTAAATATCACCAGGTTCTCCTGCTCCCCTTTATAAAAGCTAAACTGGGTCAAGGAACCATCACATGAATACACAGGCGCCAAAGCAGCTTGGAATTTGGATGTTTTTGGCTTGTTCAGAACTGCGGGTGGCCAGCAATCCCTGAGTCGGGCTCTCTCTTGTGCACGACAGTCCTGTGAATCAAAGTCTCCAAAGGAGGAAGTAGGCAGGAGCATGTTCTCATGAATGAGTCACCTCCTCTCCCTCCAGTTTTCTATCCATGCTCCACGCACGGAATTTTTCTCCATTGTCTAAAGCACATTCATCCCTAAAGACTGAAGGATAAAACTAAACTCTTGGCACAAGAACATACTGAATTTTCCATTAGACAATCCCCTTAAATGAAGCTCAGAACCACCCTTACCCTTGTTGGACTGCTCTGGAAAACACAAGTAAAGAGCAAAGTGTCTGGGTTCTATACCATTCTACACTGTTTACAAAGTGTAGACGGGTAGTAAGCACTCATTGGATTTAGAGATATAAAATACACCAACATTTTATAATCTAGGCCTTCTATTAAGAATTCTAGAGTTTGAGTCCAGCCTTTCAACGTCAAAAAAAAAAAAAAAAAACCCACAAAAATTTGTACTCCCAAAATTCATAGCCAGTTTATACTCATGTCAACCATGAGCTTTCCACTTGTAGTGATTTTGAAAGATGAATCAAAAATATTGGCCTGTTATCGCATTTGTATATTCTCAGTAATAAAGAAGGCTAATGATGTCTTATACTCTTTAAGACAGATATTTAAATCTTATACTCTTTATAAATAATAAAAAGCATTGAAAGCTTTGAAAGCAAAGCTTGCATTGAAAGCAAGATGTAAAATAAATGAGGTAGCTCCTTCAACTCCATCATTAGGATGGTGGGTGGGAAGGAGTCTGCAGATGAACTAACCCGCCTGCCAATGCAGGAGACACAAGAGATGTGGGTTCGATCCCTGAGTCAGCAAGGTCCTCTGGAGGAGGGCATGGCAACCCACTCTAGTATTCTTGCCTGGAGAATCCCACAGACTAAGGAGCCTAGGGGGGCTACAGCCCATAGGGTTGCAAAGAGTCAGACACTGAAGCAACTTAGCATGTAGATAAAGTAGGAAACAGGGGGCAGTTCAAACTCAAAGATCATAACTTACTTCAGCAAAAAGCACTATTAATTACATATTTAATTGATATTTCCCATAGCTCAACACTTTGATCTGAGGTCAAAGTTTGGATGTAACAGGTTGGGTGGGGGTTCCATTTTTTACATACAATGGAGTCTTTTGCATAACAAATGAAAAGTACATTTATCTAAAAGTTCTAAAGCTTTGTAACAACACTGTTTTAGGAATTGGGCTGTATTATTGTTTTAAAGTGTGCTGTTGGTCTTAGCAAAGGTTTACTCAGTGGAAAACCCTTGGGCAGTCCCCATTTTTGAAGCTCTTCCTACAGAAAAATACAATGCGTTTTAACAATCCATTTTTAAAAATCACAATGTCAAGAAGTGGGCCCCAGATCAAGAGCCACTTTTTCCCTCCAGAAAGTTAACTTTGTTAAAAAAAAACAATCCTCAGAGTAAGAGAGAAACATTTAACATTAAAGATTCTCCTTTTCAAAAGACACTCACAAAACTGACTGAAGCTATAGAAAACTTCCCTTTAAATATGTAACATTTTTCTTTCCAGTACCTACTCAAAATATAGTCAATATTAGAAAAACAGCATTCTAGTTCTCTTAAATACTTTTTAAATACGCTGTGACTTAAAAAGTTATAGCAACACTGACAAACAAGCATATACATGTTATGAACAATATTAATTCTTATCATTTTCATTCTAAAATCTACTTTCAATCATCTCCTTCCTCTTCAACTATAAGTTCTCCAGCATATAAAGGATGAAATTAAATACAAAAAGCTGGAAAAGATGTTCCCTGTAACTAGAATCAATCTTCTTTTAAAAAATATTTTAGAAAACAAATCCTATAATCATTAGATGAACTTAACCAGTTAGTCTCACACTGACATTTCCCCAAATATCAGTTAGATTCTTTAATTTGAAACAATCATGGCACCTCGCCTATCACAGCCTTACTATATATGGCCACTTTCAATGAGGTTCTGAGAGCAAGATGAGTAAGAATGCCTGATTGCAAATAACAGCATTTGGCCTGTGCAAAACTAGCTCAGCCATATGAGAGGTAAAATATTCAGTTACTGCTCTCCTGCTTTGGTCTATAGGACACTAACAAGAGTTCCCCAGTAAACCACCTGTCCACTCTATTAGATAAGTACTTAGAAAAGAGTTCAATCAATTTAGATTGCCCGACATTGTTTTGAATTCAGTTTCACTTTTTTTAAAGAATAGCATTTGCTACTTTATGGAGATGCTGTAAATACTTCTCAGAAATTTAAGGGCATGTTTTCAGTTATAAGAATATCCAAGCTTAATTGTGAAGATTTGGAGTGTCTGGATTATAATTCTCTTTTGCAAACCTGAATACGTTCTACCAGGATGTATAGCTAGATTTTTCTCCTCAATTAACTTTAATTCATTTCACCTTATTTTTGGTATCAATGTCCCACTAATAGGTTTTCCAAACTGACATCAGATCACATGTGGCCAGCAGGGCAGAGCCATTCACCCAGCTGAGACCGGAATGTTTTGCAGTCAAACGCATGTGTCATCATCCCATGGTTTAATGCATCAGTTTCCCTCTTCCGTTTAGAGACAGACCAAAGTAAATGAAAGGTTTCCACCAGCCCAGCTGAAAAACATTCTCATGGGAACTGTCAGTAGGGTCAAGAGGCAGAATTAGAAACATTTAAAAAAATTCCTTCTAGTCCTGACAATTTTTAAAGTGATGCCCAGGGCTTTCTAAAAGGCAGCACCTTAAGTCCTGCAGCCATTTTTCACTGAAGAAAACAGAAAGAATTTTCTCTATATTCTATGAATTTATTTTCACTTGAGTGAACAATATCACTGAAATTTTCATTTTTGCACTGATGTGGATTCTGAATATCTCCTCTTAGGTCATATTCTGAGCCGTTGCACATGAGCTTATTGTACATTTACGTCCTCAATTATCTGGGTTCCTAGTGTTCAACCCGATGAGCTCTGACATTTCCACATGTTCCAATTTTGCTGATAATCCAGGAAAATGTATAATAGGATCTGGGGTGTTTGTGTGAATACATTAAAAGAAAAAAAACAACTTTCTAATTCTGAATCAAAAGGCAGGTAAACATATCTTGAAAGAGCCCAACCAAACCCCTCCTCTGCCTTTGCCCCAAATAAGTTTGTTTCTAAAAGAAATAATTCATAAATAGATTATTAAAAATCAAGATGCTTGAAAGGTTAACTGAGAAGGTTTAGACAGGAAAATGGAAAGAACAATTAACTATAATGAAAAACAAATCTTAATTCTCTCAAGAAATGGGGGAAACCCCATTTACTAATTTACGGCATGGAAAGGAAAATTAACTTCTAAAGATTTTATGGCCATCTTAAGATTTGCTGTAGGCATACAACTGGTTGGATCTGGTCTGTTTAAAAAGAGTAAAAGTATAACCGGTTTAGTTTTAGGAACATTATATACACACAGATTAGGTTTAGGTTAAGATGAATTGTGGGTGAGGCAGGGCATCTAGTACAGAGGTCAAATGGAAAGGACACCATATATGCTTGGAATTTACAGTTCACACTGAAGATTCCTGTTTATAAGAGCAACCTTGACGGCACATTGGAATGACCTGGGAACCTGAAACACTGCTGCTTGGACCCCAGGCCCAGAAGTTCTGATCTATTGGTTTCGGTGCAGCCCAGACAGCTGGATTGCCCAAAGTTCCCCAGGTGAGTCCAACGTGTAGCTAAGTTAGAGAACTATTGAACTGGAGTTATGATAGAACATTGGGTTGGCTTCATCTTCCAGTAAGCTCTAAATAGCCATGAGAACTTCAGAACTTTCTTCTGAAGAAAGGAAGACCATTTAGAAACATAATGCATGCATTTTCAGAAAGTCCATAGCTATAACAAAAACTATAGATATCTGCTATAGTTTTATATATAAACTATAGTTTTATAGATAAACTATAGTTTATCTGCTATAGATAAAACTTGCAGAAGGAAAGCATGTTTGGAAAGGTAGGCTTGTAGAAAAACCTGAATTAACCATAAATGAAAAATATTCCTGGATTGCTAAAGGGTATTCCACTCAGTGCTAAGTTACAGGAAGTTTCCACTTGGAACATCTAAATTCTGTTATGATTAGGTCTGCTTGTTTGTTGTTCGTTGGTTTAGTCACTAAATTGTGTCAGACTCCTTGTGACCACATGGATTGTAGCCCACCAGGCTCCTCTGTCCATGTAATTTTCCAGGCAAGACTACTGGAATGGGTTGCCATTTCCTTTTACAGAGGATCTTCCCAACCCAGGGATTGACCCTGTGTCCTGCATTGGTAGGCAGATTCTTTACCACTGTGCTACCAGGGAAGCCGAATTAGGTCTATAATAAACACATTAAAGAGAGATCTAATTTCCTGGTTAGAGCTTCCTACCAGAGTCAGGATGTGTCCTCAGCCAGCAACAGACTCTCCATCTTAGAACCAAAACCATAAGCTCCATGAAGGCAAGGAACATCTTTGCCTTGCTTACCACCAGCATTGGAGGTACTGAATAAACCCTGGGGATATGACTCCCTCACTTACACATGGTCAAACTGCTCATGAGGTATAACTCAAGGTGGCAAGGCGTGGCAGGTCTCTTTTCCCACGGCTAATTAGAGCTTACTGGAAGATGAAGCCAACCCAATGTTCTATCATGACTCCACTATCCTATTTAAAAAAAGGTTCCATGTACTGTGACAGGACACTAAACGCTCGCCCATTAACATGGGTCAATGAATTTTTCTGCCAAAGCAAAAATAAAATTAATTTGATTGGAGAAATATCAGTGAATAGATTTTTTTTTTTAAACTTTCTAGTGAGATCTCCACTTTTGCCCTGCACATGAAATCATCTAAATGAAGATAAGCAATGTGCTGGGTAAGAAACTTCTTTCCCTGCCAACGGCAAAGAATGACTTGGCATTTAGTGCCCATCAAGTGACAGTGACCTAAGGTCTTGCTGGAAAGAAGTGAATTTTAGAACCATGACTTCTGAGTCTACTCAGGCAATCCTCCTCATGCACAAATCCCAAATTCTTCCTCTTACCAAGGGACTGGGAGCTCTCCTTCCTAGAGTCTGCTAAAGGCACACCAATAGAAGCAGCTACTATGCTGAAGGGCAGGCTTCCAGGGCAGCAGGAAGCACAAAGGGCCTGTGCACTCTTCTACAAGCACACAGATGAGTCCTAGGAAGGCGCCCCACAATGCCCAGGAGCTTAGAATGATGACAAAGATGCAGAAATAGGGAGCATTTCAGAGACTTAAAGCATTTGGGTTTTTTCTTTGTCTCCAGATACTGGGAACCATGTGAGTTTGGGGAGAAAAGTAAAGAAAAGCCCAGTAGAAGGTCTTTTTAAAAATAAAAAAGGCCTAAGATTTAGGTCCTGAGTCTGACATATAGTAGCCATGTAACCTTGGGATAGTTACCTGACCTTCAAAGCGCTGCTAGCTACTGCTTCTTCTATAAAAGGAGAAATAATAGCAGCCACTCCATGAGACTACTGTGGCAATTAAATCAGACAACGTACACAACACTACAGGTCTTGCATATAGGCAGTCCTCAATGATTATTTCCCTCTAGCTGTTAAATATGGAACATAATAAAGCAAGCAGAAGGCATAATCGCCAAAGTAAATGTTGTAAGAAAAAGGCATTGACTAGAAAGGCCTGGCTGAGCTGCAGGTCTTTTCTGTGACCCTGTGACACTGATACTTGGAACATGTAAATTCTTTGGGTGGTCACTCTGGGTAGGGCCTCGCTGTTTAAAGGAATTCACAAATTACTGGTGGGGAGAGTTAAGAAAGGAGGAGCCTGATCTACTCGTTATTTTTCCTGAACCAAACTAAAATATCAGTGCTAAAAGTAAGACTCCTTTAGGTCTCACTTTAAGTGAGAGTCCTTTAAGGATGCCTAACAGGTCCTTAAAACAGCTTCTAAATGCCGAAGTTAGCAAGGGGGTAAATACAAAATTCCAATATAAGTCTATCATGTTTAAATATTTAACTTGCAATGAATATGGAGTCTCTTAAAAAATTTCATTATGAACTTTTAGCTGAAAATTTCTTTCAACCTGTGCAGCAGAACTCATGAGATTACAGTTGGATGAGACCTGGTTAAGACCCAACAAAGCACATAATGCAGACACTCTCTGCCTCAGTCCTACACAGATTAAGTAACCAGCTTTGGCCAGGCCACAGCCAGCCTCTGGCTCTCCTATTTCTGGCTTTTTTTTACAGCACCATCCTATCTGATTTTCAAGCAACCTACAAGTGAACAAACATTAATAACTACAGACATAACGTCTATATACTTTGTTAAGAATTTAACAGTAAGAATTTTGAATTTGCAATTTCAAAAGTCAAGTACTAATGGAAGAAAGTTTTTTTAAACAGCATAGTCTCCAAAATGCTGGATCTCAGCTCTTAACACACACACACACACACACACACACACACACACACACACACAACTGTGACATCTTTACAAAAGTTATTTGTAGATTAAAGAGTCATATTAATTATATTAAATGTTGTCTACAGAACACATGATTTAATCTCCAACTGTTTCACAAAATAAAGATAATAATAACAGTAATAATAATAATAAAAAGCAACTCACCTCAAAAATTTCAAAGCCATAAATGTCCAAAACACCCATGACTTTCTTTCTCACTTTTGTTTGTGCCTTAAAAATAGTTTCAAATTGAAGGGTTAATTTAAGCATTACGTATAACACTAAAAGCATAACAAGGACTATAGACATAGATTACAAGTTAATTGCGTCTCAGGCCTAGAAGAATATAATTTAGGTTTTTTTAAACACATGAAAGAAGAAAGCCAGTTTATATTTGAAAAGTGTTTATTTGAAAACTCTAAACAAATTTAGTATTTAAAGTCTTTCCTAATTTCTTTGTCTTATAGTTATATAGAGATTCCATTTGTATGGAATCTCCCCAAAACTTTAGCAATAGATGATTTAAAGAAGGAATCATTATGCTTTCTTTATCAGATGCTATATTAGATGCTTAATTATAAAGAAAGAGATCACAGGGTCTTTCAAAACCATCTAGTCCAATACTCTCATTTTCTTGAAGAACATATTATAGCTAGACTGATCCAGTGATCTCTTCAGCCAAGTGTACGTAACTAGGCACCAGATGAGTCACAACCTAGACCTAGGATGCTCTCTTTCATAGCAACTCTGCAAATACCATTAGACTATTCACTGGTGAGATTTCTTATAACATGCATGCAAAACAAAACAGAACTGTTGACAAATTTCAATCCTAAACAAGGGAAAAGCTTTTCAAGGAACAATCTTGGTAAGTGCTAATCGATTACCTGATTATAAAATTAAAATGTCCTTAACTTAATGTTTATACTCTGAATACCATTTATTACAATTATTTATTTATCTATTTATAGAGATTCAGTACCTTAATGCTTTCATTGATTCGATTTACCAGCCATGAAAACAACCTGCTGTAGAGGTTTTTAGCCAGAGCATCACGAGCATAATAAGCCTATTAAAAAGAAAAAGAAAAACTCAGTACCCACAATTACCACAATGCTTAATTTCAATAAAATAATGAAGATATTTTAAAAATATATTGAAAACTCTTTTATTTCAAATTTCTTTTCAGAGGATTTTTATTGTACTCTGGATGAACAGCCAAGCCATTAAGAAAACTGGGCAAATTGCTTATAGCCGGTTATTATACTTTTTTGCATCCCAGGAAACTAATTTTAAACACTGCAAAGGCTTTCTCCACAAGGATATTCATCTCAGTGTTATAGAACAGAGAAAAATCACAGGCAATTTAGATGTCCAACAACAGAAGCATAGTAAAATAAACAAATAAGCGCCTGGTGGAAGGGAAGTTACACAGTCATCACAGAATGATTGTTATAAACATCAGATAATGAAATGAAAAATTCCTATTATGCCTTGTGATAATAAAAAGTATACATTTATTATAATAACAACTATTTTTTAAACTATTAGATGCAGGAAATTCAAAGGAAATATATTGAAAATGGTTTTGATTGATGAGATCTGTAATTATTTTTCATCAATCAGTCTTCTGAGCATTTAAAAGAATTTTCGTAATAAGCAGTATAACAACATGTTGTTGGATAATACTTTGTATAATAAAAATAAAGTGCTTTCATTTGCTTATCTATTTGAAAGCTGTTCACAGCTACTTAACAAAGAATAGGTAGAAGACATCGATGTCTCTCTGACCTTGATTTAGAATACAAAGCCTGGAGAAAGTTGGGTTTGGTCAGGAGACCTAACAGACCCTAAACAAACGTGCCACAGGTATGCAGGAGTAGGTACTAGTGATACATCAGATACCATTGCTCTGGGGTCAGGCCTGGAGATGGGCAGCAGCAGCCCAAGAAGAAACTGGCCCCAGGAAAGGAAAGAAGAGGTTCTGTTGCTGTTTTTAAGACTAGACATATGTGTGTACTTCACTGTTTATAAATAGAAAGTTGGGCATTACAGTTAAAGTAAATCATTATATTTTTATTTTATAAAGAACACAATATACTAGATTGTGTGAAAATTCTTTCTCTACAATTCTTCTTTAAATGAAGTGTGACAACTTCAACAACAGACTCACTCCATGGTAACATACTACAGCTGGGAAGAGAGTATCTTTTCCCTTTATCTGATACTTCCACGCTAATCCCAAACCTGTCTCCCTAAGTCTCAGGCAGTTACTCCAATAAGGGTTAGAAAATCCACCTAGACGTTGGTAAAAAAATAAAGCCTGACTGTTCAATACTATACATGGGGTGGGGGCTGGGGAGCAGAGAGAATAATTCCACAGAAGAAAATGTATATAAAATGCTGACACAAAGACAGAATGTTTAATTTAGAAAAATGGTCTTTCTCCAATACCCTTTCTTCTAGGTTTTGTTCTGTTTTTTTTCCTTAATAGATAATTTAAGTGCCTAGAATAGCGCTTGGCACATAGTCTGCAGGTGTATCTTGAAGTGTCCTCATCCTCTTCTATGGCCTCATAAACATAGATAATTCTTTCTTAATCCCTTCCCCTTTCCTCTTATAAGTTCAAGTCATTTCCAAACACTCCTTTATTTATAAACAGACTCTATTTCATCATCACATCATCCAGCTCTCCTAACTGTATGCAACTTGCTATAAACAAACCACTGTTTCAGGATGCAACTGAATGAATAGTGACAACTTATTCTGGTAAACTGCTTTATATTTTTTAAAGTGTAACCACTGACAATCTTAATCATCCTTGTTTTGTTCAAATACTTATTTAAAAGTCTCAAACTCAGATGCTTTCAGGGACTGCACAATAGAAATCAATGGGAAATAGCAGGGTCCAAGGAAGCTGGAGGCTGCACTCCAGGTTAAAGGCACTCAAATTCAAAATTTAAAAAGTAAGCTAACACAAGAAAAGAAATAAGCCAAAACTACTCTTCCCTCAAATATTCATCAAACAAAACACACCAACTGAGCTGCATCTGGCCTCACGGTTGTCAGTCTGCTACCTGTAGCTTCTTGGGTCTGACTGTGCCACCTCATCTCCACAGTAATGTCCTCCACAGGAAGGCTCATTCCCACATACGGATCATGAGTAAGGTGTGCAGAAACGAGGGAAGACCGAGTGCACAGCCTCGCCATCTCAGATTCTAGCACAAATGACAAGACAGTTTCTGCAGCTGATGAAGCTCTTAGAGAAAAACCCCAGGAGGAATACGCTTCCATGATGATGTCCAGTATCAGGCGTGACCCAGGACAGTAGGGTAAGTGGAGACACAGAGATGCTTGGGCATGGGGCCCACCTTCTGGGAGCTTAGAGAGGAATATGGGAGGTCAAACAATCAAAGGGCAAGTTCCAGAGGAGTTTGCAGGAGAAAAATGAGTTCAGAGAAGGAATAATCAGGGCCTTATGATCACGGAAGGCTTCCTAGATGAGGTACAATTCAAGGACCATCTAGACAGCAGAAGGAATTAGCAATGACATGGATAAGCAGGAACAAAGGCCCCAGGTAGAAATAAGTATGGCATTTAGAAAACTATCAGGGAATAAACTGAGAGAAGTATCTAGGGCAGATGACAGGGACTCTGGGAGCAAGGGGCAAGTATGTGGTAGAAGCTGAATAATAACTCTGTCGTGAGTTTCTGCTATTTCAATATTAGTCATTCCATCTGGAGAAAAATCTAAATGCCTTGGGGAAAATGAGGCATAGGGCAGTAAAGACGATAATGGGGCCCAAGAATTGAAGCTATGTGGAAAAGGTAATAAAACAAATCACATCTTGTAGGAATCAAAATCTTTTAGGCCATAAGACTGGTAGAAACAAACTCTCTGAACCCTACAACAACAACAACAAAAACTAGAATAAGAAGCTGAATAATCTAAGATCTCAAGCCAATTCTTTTATGACACTGGTTAAAAGAATGGGGGAAAGTTTTACCCAGTGATGCAAGGTGACTCAAGATTATAAATGTTAAGAGGCACCTGGTTCTGATTTCTGTACAGGATGATTAAAAAGCAAGAATAAAACACACACTAAAAAGACAGAAATACATCCATATATATATAATATATTTGAAATATTCCTAAAGGGCCTCTTAAATAGATATTTTCTCATCATATCCGTATATACTTCACCATCCCCACTCTGGCTATTGAAATATTCTCAAAATGGGACCTCGGGGTGGACAGTAGCAGCAGCAGCAGCAGCATCACCTGGAAATTTGTTAGAAATGCAAATTCTCCCATCCTACCTCAGACCTACTGAACCAAACACTCCAGGGGGTATGACCTGCAAACTGTGTCTGAGAAACCCTCCAGGTGATTCTCATGCACCCTCAAGTTCGAGAACCACTGTTGCCTACAATCCACTCTGACATCATTTCTAGCCATGTAGCTCTGAATCCTCTTTACATGTTTATAGCCTTAACCAAGCCTGATCAACTCTTTTCTGCTATGTACTCCAAACCTGGCTCCTCTCACACTTTTCTTTTTGAAATACCATTTCGTCCATTCTTTATACATCTAAATCCTTCAAAGACTGGCTCAGAAATCATGTTCTCCAAAAAATCCTCTTTAATCCCTTATGTCCCTACTAATGGTCTACACGGAGGCTTCCGCTGTGTGGGCTTTCAACCAATTTTTCTTGATGAGGCAAGTGACTCACCATCTGACTTTAAATGAGTGAGGTGGACAAGGACAGACATCGTAGCAGTAGTAATAACTTAGGAAGAAGGACATATAGCAGTTATAGCTAGAAAAGGATTGTTACGCCTCAAATTTACATAATTATAAAGGTATAGTATTTTCATAGTCAAAACTGTTCACCTAAAATAAAAAATCAATGTTGAAAGAAAGCTTAAAGCATGCATGTGTTTTGGGTTAGTAAGAAAGACTAGCTCAGAGCAGTAGAGAGAAAGACTAAGCCCACTCTATGTCTTACAGATGCTTAAGGCTACCTACAAGAAGGATGAAAATACAGCTAGACAGAACAAGCCTGAGTGGGAAAAATTCTGAGTTAACCGTTTAATTCTAGCCCAGATCAACACTGACTGGTGGGACAGTGTCTAAGCCACAGAACAAAGGATTTACACTGAAAAGGTCTATATAAGCTCCTACATATACAAGCATGCCGGAATACGTCTGTTCATCCATCCTTGAACCAAAGGAGGGAAGACATAAGCAAGTCAGACTTGTGTCTTAGAAAGACTGCACTGGCCTGAGTGAGGGTAGAGGGGGAACAGTAAGAAAGGCAGGGAAGCCAATCTGGTCATTTAACCACAGCCAGATCCCCCCGCTGTCTTCTCCAAATCAATAATGGTGCTTGGGCCAAAAATGTTGAGAGTCATCCTTGACTCTTCTCTGTCTTTTATCTCACACATACCAATACATCAGCAAATCTTACTGCATCCCCTTTCTTTTTTTTTAATATAAATTTATTTATTTTAATTGGAGGCTAATTACTTTGCAGTATTATAGTGGTTTTGCCATACATTGACATGAATCCGCCATGGGTGTACATGTGTTCCCCATCCTGAACCCCCCTCCTACCTCCCTGCATCCTCTTTCAAAATACACTTCTCATTCAAAAGCCACCGTCGACTCTGGGTTAGCACACAACTGTGCACGCCCCTGAGCTATGAATGTGTATCCCCCTCCCCCAAACCCGTATGTTGAAGGCCCAGTGTGACGGTATTTATAGAGGTAGGCCTTGAGAAGGCAATTAGATTTAGATGTGGTGGTGAGGCTGGAGTCCCCATAACAGGACCGGTACCCTTAAAAGGGGACGAAGACACCAAAGCTCATTTGCTCACTCCTTCTCTCTGCCAGGTAAGGACACAGTAAGAAGGCAGGTGTCTGTATATAAGGAAGAGGGCCCTCATCACGAATTCGACTGTGTTGGCACTCTAATCTCAGCCTTTTAGCCTCAAGAAAAATAACTGAAAAATAACTTGTTTTTTGTTTAAGCCACCCAGTCTACAGTATTCTGTTATAGCAGCAAAGTGACTAAGACACCCTCTGTCCCTTACACTGCTGTCTACACTGCAGCCAGAATGACCCCTTACAAGCAGATCATACCACCTGTGCTCACAACTCTCCAGCTATTTCTCAGCTCACTCAACCCCTCTGCCCCGAACACGATGGATCTCCCTTTTACTCTGCTCTGCTTTATTCTCTTTGTCCATTGCACTTATCACCTGCTAGCTTGCTGCGTGAATTTTCTAGGTCTACTGCGTTGTCTGGCTCCTCCTGCCAAAATTTTAAGCTCTACAAAGGCAGGCATCTTTGTATGTCTAGTTTACTCTGTACCCCTAGTGCCTAAACCAATGCCTAGAATATAATATGACAGGATAATAGCCTGAAAAATAAAATTTTTGTTTCCACTTATACAAGATTCTGAAGACTTTAAAAACTCCCTTCCAGACATTATGCTGCACCCACCTGAGCCACATTCAGTGTAGTTGAAACTTTCTCTTGCTTGGCCTCAACCGTCCGGAAGCTGAAAGCTCGCTCTAGAACTGACTGGTCAATGCCGGTCAGTTCGCAAATTTCTTTTAACTCTGTTGTGGGGAGAATGGTCACAAAGAGTTACTGCATATCTGCTGCTAATAATCTATCACTTTCAAGGCTTACAGTGTTCTTTCTAAATCATTTTCAAACCAATCAGTGTAAAAGATATAAATCAAAAGACTTCAGACTGAGCTGTAATTACGTTTCTGCTCAGTTTCACTAGATAGCTTTTTCAACTCAAAGCAAGTTTTACTTTCTACATTAAAAACTGGGCAGAAGTTCAAAGTCAGTCTTGTTCTGTCCTCCACTGACTTACCATTTTTATCTTTGATCTTGCTTTCATCTAAGCCATTCACTCGCGATTCGGGCTTGAACTCAATGTTCCCCAGCTTCAACACCGCAGCCACCACCTCTAACACAGACTCAGCTTCATGGTCCATGAAACCCACGATCTGCATGGCATTCTGGGGGAGAAAAAGCACCTGTTTTCTGTCTGCAGTTCTCTATTATTTAAAAAAATAAATCATAAAACAGACTCACCTCTGAAAAAAAATCAAAAAGACAAAAGTGTCCCAGAGTAAACTTTCCAAGAGGCAAAACTAACATCATGTGGAAAAATCTGAACAAACTTTGTGGCCAACCCAATAATGAATGAACTGAATTAGAATCAATGCGGGGCTCTATCTTGTCCGGTGGTTTGAAGTTCTGAATCAAGGAGCCCTGGGGTATTTCACGGGCTGTGGCAAAGAGGAAGATAGAGGGACAGAAGGTGGAGAGCTGAGCCCTCGGTTCCCATTCCAACTCTAACCAGCTGTGTGTGTGTGTGTGTGTTTTCATACTGGAGTTCTGCTGCTAGAAACAGAAACAAGCAAAAAACCTCACATAATCTCGTACAAAAAAACCTCCTCATTTATTTTACATATGAGAAAAACTGTGGTTTGCGAAGGTGAAGTGCTCAATTCCAGGAACTACGGGTAATAAGGAACATTCGTCCAGTCATAAGTTTTTATTGAGTGCCAATGATTTGCCAATCAAAGTAGTCACAGAACTGGTCCCAAACTTAAAATCATGACCAGGGATCAACAGGCTTCCATATGAGGCTGTTCAGACAATTTAGAAAAAAATGATACTGTCAAGAAACGTTTTCTTTTTGGAGAACAGCCCAATCTGCTTGCTTACTTATTTACTTCCCCAGAGCCCAATCAATCTACCTGCCTATTTATTTATAATGACTAGGTTACACAGCAATGGGAGTACTATAAGATTTATCATTCTAGAAAATTTCAAACATATACAAGTCTAGAGAGCAGGAAAAGAACCACATGTTATATTCACTCACCCCTAAAGATGAACTGATTCCAATATTATTTTATCTATAATCCAGCCTATTCCCACCCCTGCCACTATTGCAGCTGTATCATCTGGAAGTAAATAACAGTTATCGGGATCATTTCCTAATAGAAGCAATTTTCCAAGTGCCTCAGAAACATAGAAAGCAGAATTTAATTTAAACTAATTTTTTTTTCTAATGAACACAAATGATAATTATTCTGTTTTATGGAGGATTTTTCAAAAACTATATATAAACATGACTTTCTGTCTGAAAAATAGATTTGACTTAACATGACTGTAGGACAGTTTTCACATGTGGAAATTAACTACTGAGCATTGGTTATAAATACATTTGGAATTTCAGGACAATATAAAAAGTCAAACCCCAAAATAGATAAGAAGGCTCCTTTCGATAAACAGTAAAATTGCATGCTGCATAAAGCCTGGTCTTCTCAATACCATATGACGATTGAGCTAGTAAAATATCAAACTAATAAAAATACAATAAATTCTATAATTCTAAAACCTTTGGGAGCATGAGTTAGGAATCAAAGAAAAATCTAAACTTTAACAATTCTGATGAGCAATAGAACATTACCCATTTTAAAGAGTAATAAAAGCATTACATCTTACCCTAACGGTTCTGAAATTTGCTGCATCATCCACTCCATTAACTTTGGCCGAGTCCAGACCCAGGTAGTTATATCTGCTGAAATCCCGCTCAAGTTTAAGCTTATCTATTGAATCACACATACGAGTTGGTAAGTTACTTCAATAAATCTAATCATCTTTAACATCTCATTTCTTTAACCCTTCAGATAAAAAGACTTTCATACTATGCATTGACCCAAAGAACAAAAATGAATGGTATCAACTCAAATATATCAGTAATAGTATTTGCCCAAAATCACCTTTATCATGTGTACATATTTAAAACTTTTTTTTTGCAGACTCTTTCCATATTTTGATTATTTATCTTCAATGCGCTCTTTCCTTATAACATATGATGTCCGTCTAGTGATTCTCCCAGTTGGACACTTGGATTTTCTCCAGTTTGTAATAATAAATAAAAGGCAGTGATGAATATCTTCACACAAAATATTTTTTGGATTCTTTTGAATGATTCCATTGGGGTGTAATCCAAAAAGTGGTGTGCCTGGGCAGCAGGATCTGATTATTTTATGACTTCTCCTGCTTTGCCAAAAGTCCCTCAGGAAAAAGTCCTCACTTTGAAGTGATACTCAGAAGCTCTAGGCAGATCAGTCCTGACAGCTCTGCCAGATTTATCCTCTTCAATAACTTTAGCTAATACGTGTGCAGGGGCTACTTCAGTGCTCCTTCAATTTACATTTGTTGATAATTAACATCTACTTCTGCTTTATTGACTATGCCAAAGCCTTTGACTGTGGGGATCACAACAAACTGTGTAAAATTCTTCAAGAGATGGGAATACCTCCTGAGAAATCTGTATGCAGGTCAGGAAGCAACAGTTAGAAATGGACATGGATCAACAGGTTCCAAATTGGGAAAGGGATATGTCAGGGCTGTATACTGTCATCCTTCTTATTTAACTTATATGCAGAGTACATCATGAGAAATGCCAGGCTGGATGAAGCACAAGCTGGAATCAAGATTGCCGGGAGAAATATCAATAAGCTCAGATATGCAGATAACACCACCCTTATGGAAGAAAGTGAAGGCCTAAAGAGCCTCTTAATGAAAGTAAAAGAGGAGAGTTAAAAAGTTGGCTTAAACTCAACATTCAGAAAACTAAGATCATGACACCCTGTCCCATCACTTCATGGCAAATAGATGGGGAAACGATGGAAACAGTGACAGACTTCATTTTTGGGGGCTCCAAAAATCACTGCAGATGGTGACTGCAGCCATCAAATTAAAAGATACTTGCTCCTTGGAAGAAAAGCCATGACCAACCTAGACAGCATATTAAAAAGCAGAGACATTACTTTGCCTACAAAGGTCCGTCCGTCTAGTCAAGGCTATGGTTTTTCCAGCAGTCACGTATGGATGTGAGAGCTGGACTATAAAGAAAGCTGAGGTCTGAACTGATGCTTTTGAACTGTGGTGTTGGAGATGACTCTTGAGAGTCCCCTGGACTTCAAGGAGATCCAACCAGTCCATCCTAAAGGAGATCAGTCCTGAATAGTCATTGGACAGACTGATATTGAAGCTGAAACTCCAATCCTTTGGCCACCTGATATGAAGAACTGACTCATTGGAAAAGACCCTAATGCTGGGAAATTCTGAAGGTGGGAGGAGAAGGGGACGACAGAGGATGAGATGGTTGGATGGCATCACCAACTGAATGGGCTTGAGTTTGAGTAAACTCCAGGAGTTGGTGATAGACAGGGAGGCCTGGCATGCTGCAGTCCACAGGGTCGCAAAGCATCAGACATGACTGAACGACTGAACTGAACTGAACTGAGTATGAGGGTAATTTTTTCCCCAAGTGTGTTGACTTTCCATAGCTCTTTTTGTTTAAACTATTTGTTCAAAACTTTTCATCACTTAGTTACTGACTATTGGATACTCTCCTGATGGACTTATAATAATTCTCTAAAATATCTAAAGGTCAGATTTTTACCTCTGTATCAGTTGCAAATGTCTTTTCCACTACTTTTAAATTGTCACTGAGTAGTATGTTTTTATATAATTATACTCATCTACTGCTCCCTGCTAACTTCTCTCCAAGTGGACTAACTATATTCTTCCATTTTATTTTTTTTAATAGATAATGAGCCCCTCCCCTAACTGTTAGCTCTTTTAGCAACCCATCTGAGACACAAATTATAGTCTTCCATTTTATTTTTTTTTCAATTGATAATGAGTCTCTCCCCCAACTTTCAGCTCTTTTAGCAACTCATCTGAGACACGCTCCAGTACCTGGTGGGGTACTACAGAGACGGATATCAAACAAAGACTGCAAGGTGGTAGAAGCCAACCCATCGTGTTCTTCCCTTCAAGTGGAATCATGGAAAAATTTTAAGAGAAAAAGAGGAAAATCATAAGGGACACTTCTGCTTTTGATGCTGCAACAGTAAAAATTAAATTAAAACACAAAAACAGGGACTTACTGAGAAGCTCTTCAGAGGCACCAGAAAGCAGCTGATAAAACACATGAAAGTTTCTTTCACCTCTTGGCTGCTTAACAACTCGAGATTTCTCTAAAAGATCTAAAGAGAAAAAGAATCAAAATCATAATACAGTATTAATCTCCCTTTCAAATACACTGTGCTTCTTTCTCTTTCCCCTCAACTTTCTTTTTCATTTTCTGTCTTGTACTAATAAAGTAATAACAGAAGCTACATTTTCAGTTCTACTTTCAGGAAGAAGCACAACTCTAACTAAAACCGCTAAATTAAACAAACCAGCTTCTGGTTGAACAATAGTGAATATGCAAAATAAGTTTAACAATACAATCAACAAGCTGATTAAAGACAACATAGCTTGTATAATAATATTCTCTTGATTTTATATATGATGACACTGCATGCATGCTAAGTTGCTTCAGTCATATCCGACTCCTTGCAATCCTATGGACTGTAGCCTGCCAGGCTCCTCTGTCCATGGGATTCTCCAGGCATGAATACCAGAGTAGGTTGCCATCCCCTCCAGGGGATCTTTCCAACCCATGGATCAAACCAGAGTTTCCTGCATCTCCTGCAGTGGCAGGAGGGCTCTTTACCACTAGCGCAACCTGATGACATTAGGTTCTTCGATATGTGGTATTACAAGCCCAAGTAAGGAAATGCAGCCATTCAGTTAAGAACTCACTGAAGAGTTATAATAATAACAAATTAAATATTCTTGATATTTTATGCTTGATACTTTATGCTAAATGCATATAAAAGACATCTAGAAAAGACATTATCTCATTGAATCCTCCTCATCATTTTGTAAGGTATAACTTCACAGATGAAAAAACTGATAGTTCAAGTGCTTAAGAAGGACTTGAAATCAAGCCATCTGATCCCAGTGCTACCTGGCATAAGAGAAGCAAACCTCTTTGCTCTCTTGAAGTCTTAAAGAATGAAAGGTGGTTTTCATTTCATGGAATCTGGAGTTATTTGACAGTATACTTTCATTGATGCTGGATGATTTTTTCATGCTGTAACTGACACATTATCAAATTTTCAGGAAGGGAGGAAGGCAGACAGGGAGAAAGGAAGACAGGAAGAAAGGAAGGGACGAATACCAGCAAGCCAACCAGAAAGGCACCACCGTGGCAGAAACAGGGAGTGGCCAAGTGCAACTGCAGAGAACATTCCTGCCTAGAGTCCTGTTTATCATTGACCAGCAACAGAAAGGAGGGTCTGGGTTCTGCGGTCAAAGGCCAGATTTATTTAAAAAATTATGCATCAGTGATCCCATTATTGAGCACTAATTCTAGAGAACAGACACATTCGATTTACCATCAGGCTAAAATCTAAACATTATCCAAAAAATTAGTAAAGAAGAGTACAGTGTACAATTTCACAGGGACTTTTCACTGAACTTAATTTGTATTTCTGGAAACTTTACCAGCACAAGAGGAAGAGTTTAGGGAGAGTTAAAAAGTGCAGATTCAATGAACAGGGACACCCTAGGGTGCTCCAAATACATAAGGCTGTTTGTGAGAATGAAGAGATGGGTTAAGAGGATACATAAAGTCGACAGAAATTTCGCATTACGTGGAGCACAACAGATGAAGGATTAGATAGCAGGATCAAAGTTTCTTTACTTTATGTATAATCTCTCTTCCTGGGGAAAAAAAAAAAGAAACGGTCCAAGATCTTGATTAAAGCTTATAGAAGAATCAGCTTTGCCTGTTTTGCTTGTAAGGCAGGAATGACAACGAGCCCTGCTCCTCTCCACAGATACACATTATGAAAAAGGTGAGTGGCACTGAGGACTTCCCAGGTAGCACAGTGGTAAAGAATCAGCCTGCCAATTCAGGAGACCCAAGAGACACAGGTTCAATCCCTGGGTCAGGAAAATCCCCTGGAATAGGAAATGGCAACCCACTCCACTATTCTTGCCTGGAAAATTCCATAGGCAGTAGTCTTATTTCATGTAGTCTTATGTAGTCTTACTTCATGATAAACATGCAGTCTTTTCTTTTCATGGTAAACATATTTTTATATAAGAAAGAATACCAAAGTAAAAATGAGACAAAGCATCTGATTTTATATAAAGCCATCCACTATGGAGGAACAGAACTGCTCTCTGAAATTTCAGCTTTATTCCTACAGATACTTCACAACCAGTGGTAGATTATTTCTGTCTTCTGTAGGGATATTAAATGTCAAAGTGCTAAAAAAGCCCAGCCTGGAATTATAAACTAGGTGATGTATTGGCTCAGTTTTTTTGATGAATTTTGACCCTAAAGAAGACAGATTAAAAAATAGACCCTATTTATTTATAAAAACAGACTTTGATGAAGTCACTAGCTGTTGAGAACTGATTCATGTACAGGAAAGTCCTCAATTCCACCTCAATACATCACACACACACACACACACACACACACACATCCCAGAAAACAAAGCAGATTCAAGATTCCCTTAGGAAGTGTTGTACAAGCAGTTCTGCTCCCAATCACCCACTCATCATCAATTAAGCCAAAGGCATAATGTAAAAGGAAGAAAAAAGCTATAAATCTCAAACAATTTAAAAAGAGTAAAATTATATTCCATATGCTACAAAATGGCGTGAGTGTGCTATACATATGGAGTAAACAGCATGCCATGAGATAGCACATATATTAATTGCATCAAAAATTCAAAAGAAATGTAAAAGAAAAGAAATTCAAAGCAACTCCTTCTACCCATCCGCCCCATCTTTCCAGTGAGTAAGGTGGGCATTTATTCTTGCTTTCTGAGTTCATGTGTAAGGATTTTCTGCGATTAACTCCCCAGCCCCACAGACCCTCACTCACTCTTCCACTTGGCGGGAGGAAATGCACCTCTGAGCAGTGAAGTCTGGAGAAGAAACGGGCAAGAGTGTATAGCTCAGCCCTCCACACTGTGTAGTCAGCTCCACCCCCCAAGCACTGCTCAGCATCCCCTTGGGGATAAACCAAATCACTTTCTTCAACCTTGCCTCTACAGTAATAAAGCTGCCTTCCCTCCAGCTTGATTCCTATGCCTATTTCTCATGTGTTTCCAAACTGTGTGGGGAAAGCACATCACCTCTAACTCATGAGTCCGAGAGGTAGCTTTGTAGTTCTTCTGATCTAACCCAGGTTGGCTGGCAGCTGGCTGACCTAAGATGGTCATATATAACTCATACGTCTGCTGGTTCATTCCATGTGTCTCTCATCACCCAGCTGACTCGCCCAGGCTCGTGCACATGAAGGTGATGCGAGAGTTCCCCAGAGAAGCGAGAGAGGACAAGTCCCGGCACAGAACCTATTCTCGAGTCTGTCAGTGCGCCATGCTTGTGAACCGTCCCACTGACCAGAACAAATCTCACGGCCAAGCCTTATGTCATTGAGGGAAGGAAGTACTGCAGAGGGTGGATCCAAGCTAAAAAAACTGTTGTGGCCATTTCTATAAACCATCTACTGGGTTTAGGCTATTTAAAATAAAATGGTCACCAATTCTTTCCACACTCTTCCCACTGAGAGGTGGAATCCACATCCCCCAGCACTGAAACTGAGCAAACTTATGTCTACGTGGACTTAAGAGAGTCAAAGTAACACTGTACCATTTCCTAGGTTTCTCAGGCTTCTTCCTGGTTCTTTCAGAACGTGGTCGGTCGGTATGTTCCCTTTTGGGATACTCCCTCTCAGAATCAAGCCGGCCTGCTGTGAGAAGCCCAAACCACCCATGGCCACACGTAGATGGCTCTCAGCCTAGTCCTTGGGCTAGGCTCTGAGCCCAGTCCTTGAATGATCCCAGCCCAGGAGCCTGATATGTGAATGACAAAGACTCCAGAGGACTAAGACCCCCACCATTTGTGTAAGTCTTCCCCAACACTGGGGAAGTCTATGCAGCTGAAGTTCCATATGCTGTGGTGACAAGCCAGCTCTGCTGACTCCATCTGAATTCTTAACCCACAGAATCCAAGAGCATATGACAGGGCGTTGTTTTACTCCACTAAGCCTGGGGTGGTTTACTGGGCAGTAATCATAACCAGACCACACACCAACTTCAACATTTGCTTTCATTCATAATCACAGGATTGCATTACTTCTATCAACCTGAACAGATATCAGCAACAGAGGAAGTTTGATTACCAACAACTCTGTTAGCCTTTCTGAGATTTAGAAAAAGTATTTTTAAATGATTAGCATAGAACTTTCAGATAAAATTATCCAATGAAGGAGCAGCTTTATTATTCAATAAATTTCTCTATGTCAAATTGTACTTGATGTACACTAGGTACTTACATGATGAGTTAATTCAACAATTATATAATAAACATCAGACACTATTTTAGTTATTGTCATTCAGAAACCATACCAACTAAGTCTCTGTTATTATAGGGTATATATTGGTCTGGGTGCTAGAGACCATCAGCAAATAAGTATAATGAAAAGAAGCTAACGTTTACTGAGTGCTTACTACATGCACTGTTACAAGCGCTTTGGATGTAAACAAATCATTCACAACTCATCACAATTCTATGACATCAACCCTATTACCCTCATTTCAAAGATAAAGAAATGAAGGCACAGAGAATTAAGTAACTTGTCTTTTTGTTTCGATATCGGCACCCACATGATAAATCCCTGAGAGCTGCATAAGTAAGCTAATGAATATGCCCCAAATAATATAGCAGGAAAACACAGAGCCTGCCTATATTTAACCAATTCCATCCTCGTCTCCAGCATTTACTGAGCACCTACAGTGTGACTTCAGAAAACAAAGATCATGGCATCTGGTCCCATCACTTAATGGCAAATAGATGGAGAAACAGTGGAAACAGTGGCTGACTTTACTTTTCTGGGCTCCAAAATCACTGCAGATGGCAACTGCAGCCATGAAATTAAAAGACGCTTACTCCGTGGAAGGAAAGTTATGACCAACCTAGACAGCATATTAAAAAGCAGAGACATTACTTTGTCAACAAAGGTCCATCTAGTCAAGGCTATGGTTTTTCCAGTGGTCATGTATGGATGTGAGAGTTGGACTACAAAGAAAGCTGAGAGCTGAAGAATTTATGCTTTTGAACTGTGTTTGTTGGGGAGGAGGACTCTTGAGAGTCCCTTGGACTGCAAGGAAATCCAACCAGTCCATCCTAAAGATCTGTCCTGAGTGTTCACTGGTAGGACTGATGTTGAAGCTGAAACTCCAATCCTTTGGCCACCTGATGCGAAGAGCTGACTCATTTGAAAAGACCCTGATGCTGGGAAAGACTGAAGGCAGGAGGAGAAGGGGACGACAGAGGATGAGATGGTTGGATGGCATCATCGACTCAATGGACATGGGCTTGGGTAGACTCCGCGAGTTGGTGATGGACAGGGAGGCCTGGCGTGCTGCGATTCATGGGGTTGCAAAGAGTCAGACACGACTGAGCGACTGAACTGAACTGATCTGTGTCACAGATATCACCTTAGGCTCCTGATACATTACTGTGAATGGGACAGTCTTGTCTCCCATCTTTACAGTTCTCTCAGGTATATATGCACACTTGAAATCTTGAGGCTTCTTCTTAGTATTGGATTACCGAAAAGTTTGTTCAGGTTTTCCTGTAAAGTCTTATGGAAAAGCCCAAGTGAACTTTTTGGCCTACCCAATACATCTATATGCTATTCTTCTTTTAGGAAATAAAATCCCTTGAGACTTGTACCATATTTTCTGCACAGTCTGAACTGCCTTTTAGTGCATAACTATAAACAAGTATCCATGATTATTAATAAAAGCAACAGATATCCAAACATTTTAAGTTCATAACATTAGGTCCAAAATCCTCGAATGTAAATGTATAAATTTTATAAGATCAACAAGTATTAACAAAATAGGAGAAACTACTTCACATCAGCCAAAAATCTGGATATGCATCCATATTTTATCTTCTCTACTTAAGTAAATGTTTGCCATTTTCTATCTTTGTAACACCTCTCTCCTAATGAAACTAACCTCAAAACACATAGCTTTCAAATGAGTTGAAGACAAGTTTTACAGTACAAACTCTCTTAGAAAGACAGGGTAAGTTATTGGGCTTTCTCCCCCCACCCTCCACTTCCTGGGTACACAATGGGCTCAAGAGATCCTATGACTTTTTCAAGGTAATAATTACAGCTAAAGCAACTTACACTTTTACTAGCTGGCTGCTAACAAAGCAAGCAATATAGACTTCCTACAAAATGGCAAATCTTATCTTCTTTTAACTAAGATCATGGTATCTGGTCCCATCACTTCATAGCAATTGGATGGGGAAACAGTGGAAACAGTGGCTGGCTTTATTTTGGGTGGCTCCAAAATCACTGCAGATGGCAACTGCAGTCATCAAATTAAAAGACGCTTACTCCTTGCAAGAAAAGCTATGACCAACCTAGACAGCATATTAAAAAGCAGAGACACTACTTTGGCAACAAAGGTCCAACTATTCACGGCTATGGTTTTTCCAGTAGTCATGTATGGATATGAGAGTTGGACTATAAAGAAAGCTGAGAGCTGAAGAATTGATGCTTTTGAACTGTGGTGTTGGAGAGGACTCTTGAGAGTCCGTTGGACTTCAAGGAGATTCAACCAGTCCATCCTGAAGGAGATAGGTCCTGGGTGTTCATTGGAAGGGCTGATGTTGAAGCTGAAACTCCAACACTTTGGCCACCTGATGCGAAGAGCTGACTCATTTAAAAAGACCTTGATACTGGGAAAGACTGAAGGCAGGAGGAGAAGGGGACGACAGAGGATGAAATGGTTGGATGGCATCACCGACTCAACAGACATGAGTTTGAGTAAACTCCAGGAGTTGGTGATGGACAGGGAGGCCTGGCATGCTGCAGTCCATGGGGTCACAAACAGTTGGACACAACTGAGCGACAGAACTGAACTGAACAAAATGGCAAATCTTGTCTTCTTTTCTGGGTATAAGAAGCTAACTTTTGGCAGCTTGGTGAGAACAAGAGTGGGTTTACCCATGACTTTATACCCCCTTAAGATAGCAGGCACCAGCTCCCTGTGGCCACCTATGAGTCAGTCCTCTGTCTATGCTGGGTGAAATTTCCTGCTCTCACCACTAATGTTTCCCTCTCCTTTCCAAAGCAAAGGACACTCTAAAATACCAGGGTGTTCCCACTACCACAAACTTCAATATAATTTCATAGTGGGAACAAATGGTAACAGAGACCATCTGAAATCCATTCATGATGATATATTAATTTTCATTGGAAATGAACTGAGTGTTTACTATTTATTCTCCATGGATACTGCAAGAACTAGGGACAGGAAGACATTTCTGTTTGAAATTTGAAACTTCAAAATGTAAAACCCAAGTGATTTTCTAATACTTGCAATCTAAGTCATCCTTAAATATTTCCCTAGAGTCCTCAAGAGTAACATAGATTCAGTTATCTCAGAATGTTCTATAATAAAAAGAGTTCATTTATTCTCATTCTAAAAATAGTGTGCTATTCAATTAATAACTAGAGCTAATTTCTCTTATAAAATGCAAGTGCTATAAATGTGTTATAACTGTCTTTCAGAATAAAAGGTAATCATTTCTTACAATTGAGGCTACCCTTTCCTGTACAGCTCACCAACTGGCATGCATCGTGAAGGAAGTCTGCCTAGGAAACCTGGCAGGGTTATAATCATTTGCTTTTGGTGGCATCATAAATGGTTTGCATGAGTACTTCTGCATCCTTATTTGACATTTAAAATAATTTAACATAAGTAGCACCACCCTAGCCAATTTCACTTCAGATTAAATCTTCCTCTTCAAGAAGTTTCCCCAGTAACAATACATTTTTGCAAATATGGATAATCCCAATGGATGGTACACAAACTAAATTAAAAAATTAAGTTATTTAAAAACTATAAATGGTAGAAATGGGAAGAACCATGGAATTCATCCAAGTCAGTTCTATTGTTTCCAAGATGAAAAAACTCTAGCCATAGAACTTTACTCCATGAATTGTAGTTTTAAATGTTTTTAAAAAATTCAGTGGCACGGTGTGCCCAAATTCTAAAAACACTCACTTTGGAATCAAATGACATTCCTCTGGATCTAGAGTCTGTCAGGAAGACCTCAGGGGCCACCTGGGGGCCTAGGGATTCTGGCAACTCACATCTTCTTTAACCAGATCAGGCCTTGTTTTATCTGTTTCATATTTGGAGTAAAATTTCATTTGGAGAAAGAATGCCACTACTATAACAAAAAGCAGTGCTTCAGTTATCTGAGCCAATTTGCTTTTTGTCTGGTATACGCTTAGACTGTTTTCATTCTAACAATCCCAATAGAATCTTAGGGCAGTGAAGAGCCAGGGGAAGGTGGGGTGGCTCAGCAGTCTGGCCCTCAGAAAAACAAGAGGGTGGATAGGCTGTGGCTCCACTGGATGGGCATAAACCCCGAGTTGCCATCTTGCACGTCCCAAACAAACCAGAAAAAACAGACATGAGCAGAGACAGCAGGACAGTTCCAAAGCGTGGATGAAGGGGCCTTACTGACAACAGGTACTGACCATTGTGTCCCCTGAGAAAACTCTGCACCTGGGGCTGTTGAGTAGACCTGACCTGATTTTGTTCCTTTTTTTTTTTTTACCTTTGACAGAGAATGTTTCACTACAATCACAAATCATAACTAAAGAAAACTAAATAAATCTGTTTCTACCTAACAGGTGTATCACATTTCAATTATCTAAATTCACTAAAGACAAAATTTCTTAAAACCTGAACAGGTTTTTCTCATTCTATCAGATAAATGTTATCCCCAAAAGTTATTAAAATCAATTATTATTTATGTTTTCTTTTAACCATAATTTTGTTAAAGAAAACAACTGTTGAAGAATCTTTTTTATTACTGGATTGGCTATAGAATACAAAATACAGTTGGACTAATATTTATTTCTTTAGCAGACTTCTAAAAAGTTTCTCAAAGGCAAAGACTTTGATCTTTTAAAAAAGACTTGGAAATTAAATATTATAAAAACAATCTAAAATACATAGGTTAAAAATCTAAATGTAAGAACAGGAAATGCATTCTTATAGCTGTTTCTTAAAGACCCAAGTATCTAAACTATTCTATTTATATATTAATATATATTTTACTATTCTGAACTTCTTTAAAATACTCACAGTTACTTATCACTCCTCCCAGTGGATCGCCTTTAAAGTCAAATTCAATATCCATATATTTGCCCTGCAAAAGAAAGAATTTGTGAGTTAAGTTCACCTCAAAATATTCAGTCTGTATCTTAAAACATAGTATAATCAGCCCTTTATACATTGGTTTAAATATAATTAAGAAGGACATAGTCTATAACCATGATGCAAAACAACATGTCTCCATAAATAACTCATACTAAATACTCCATTAGCTCAAACTGAACATATCTGATTGCTAATTTAAGAATACATTTTCTCAACCATCATAAGACTTTTCCATTTCAGATATGTGCTTCAAAGCTCTTAATGGTGTGTGTATTCAATCCAAAAATGAAAACCAGAAAAAAAAAAGTATTCCTTGCATATGCTCTAGCTAGGAATATAAATTATTTCAGTTTTATAGGCAAAGTATGTTTTAAGCCCTGACTAGACATTTCAAACATACTGGATGGTGGGTAAAACGGAACACTTCAAGTTCTGTTTTTACATCTACTCAAATCAAATGCACAATTATGTGGTGTGACCACCTCAGAATCAAAGGCTGATCATTATTACTCTTTTGGCTTTTGATCTAGATTATATAGCAATATATAACCCATTATATAGTATTACACTATATAGATGGAATCTGAAACACACAGGAATACACGTGGAGTCTCTTATACTATGATTTGTAGAGAAGAATCTTGAATCATCTGGTGAAAGAGTAACAAATGTATCAGAAGAACCCTGACAGCTGTTTTTTGTTTGGAAAAGTGTGTGTTGATCTAATAAGTAGTCTGGTTTTGTTTCATGTTCTACCTTAGTCAGATCTATGGTTTATAAATAATTCTCCCAGAGAATTAATTCTATTTTTCAAAATAATGGTAAAGGAGAAGAAACACGATCACATGGCACACAATCAATGATGCAATTTGTGACTTTTTATTAGATCGTGAATACTCCCCTGCCTTCTTCTTCACTGTCATGGGTCATCTGGCCTAAGTATTCACTTACTCATTATAAAAATGTCTATCAAGCATCTCCTAGATACTAACGTAGACACAAGGGAAAGCAAGGCATAGCTCCTGCCCTCAAGGAACTTACAGCCTTGGGGGAACTGGGACATAAACAGGACATAACCATGTGCAGGGCTGCATCCTACAGTGGGTCATGGTGCCGTACACAAAGAACAGGGGACGGGGGACGGTGTGGGAGATCTGCCCCGACTTAGAGATGAAGTACCAGGAGAGGCAGGCAGGCAGGAGCTCGGGGGTCAGGGAGGAGCAGGCTTAAGGACTGGCACCCATGAGGATGGCAAGGGAAGCCAGAACATCATGACACCAACATTCTCTCCTGACACAAAAGTCTTGTCATTCAAGGCTCCTCAACAAGGATGCTGTGATCAGACTTGCCTCTTTCTAAGAGCATCCTGGCTGTGTAGAATGGACTGCAAAGGCTCGAACTGGCAGAGGTGGCAGCATGTGGGGAGAAACGGTAGTCTGTAGCTGGAGTAGCAAAGGAGGAAACTGAACGGAGTTGAGAGCTATGAAGGGAGTCACGATGACAGGCTGCAGTTGGAAGAAGAAGGTAAAGAAGATTGGGGTCAAGAATTCCAAAGTCCAGGCTGAGATCCGGGCAACCAAGAGCAGTGCTCTGCAGGAGACGTGGGGGCCCCAGAGCCAAAGCAGCTATCAAGGAGGCAGAAAGAGTAGCTTCACAAGAGTCAGAGGTTGACCAGACGAGGCAGGATGCCTTTGATGGCACGTGCTCCCTGGGCATAGGAGGAGACAGAGCTAGAAAGCAGGAGGAGGGACGAGCGAGAGACAGGAGCATGTGTGAACTGACACGGGGACTGCGAGGTGTCAAGGAGTGGGGCTAAGTGGGTCTGTGAGTCTGGAAGATGGTTTCTGTGAGGCAGGCATGAGACCATCAGCTGAGAATAAAGAACAGGAGGTTTGAAGTGAGTAAACCCTGTGGAGAAGGGAAATGGAAACTGACCAGGGCTCAGCTCCAGGACAGCACTGAGAACCCAGCTGACGCCATGCTGATGGCGTCCCCAAGGCTCGGCTCTGATCCTGTCACCAGACCGCTCACAAACAACCAGGGGCTTCCCGCAGACTACACAACCAAGTCTGAGCCCCCGACCCCGCTTCTCCAGGCCCTCCAGCTGGGGCCCAGACCCATCTTCCCAGTGCTCTGCTCCCCGGCTCCACTCACAGAACCTCTGGCCTGGCCATGAACTCTGGCAAATGCAGGTCCACACTGGCTTCTCCCCTCAGTTCCTCATGCTACAGTGCCAGCTCCTTGGGCTCACCACTCGAATTTGGCTTCTTTAAATCCTGTGGACCCACTCAGGACTGTCCCTGCCCCGTACTCCTCCAGCTTCTTGAGTCTTCCCTAACACTTCATCTGTACTTTTCATGGGAGACTTACTAGTTTCTGTGTTGTAATTATTTTCAGACATGTCCATTTTCCTGACTAGCCTCTAAGCTTCTTCAAAATAGGTATCCATTCATCAACAAATAAATGTTTTCAGAGTCCACTATGGCACCAGCTCACTCATGCTCCTGGGGCCACTTTAGTGAACAAGAGGCTGAGGAGCTCGCTTCCTCGGCTCCTACCCTCCAGGGCCAATGAGGATGGAAATGGGGAAAGAGAGCAGAGTTAACTCCAGAGCCTGATGAATGCCTTCAAAAATGAAAAAAGGGTGAAGTCACAGAGGCTACCAAAGGCATCATGGAAGTGACATCTGAGATAAGACCTACACAATACGAGATGCCAGCCATACACAGATCTGGAGACAGAGCGCATTGGCCAAAAGGACCAGCAACAGAAAGGCCTAAGGCCGGGAATCACTCGGACATGCCTGACAGTCACAAAGGCCTGTGTGGCTGAGGCCTGAGGAGCCTGGTAAGGGTCGGCTGGGCAGCCTAGCTCGCCCTAGGAGGGCTGAGGAAGCCCAGGCTGTATTCCAGGTGCAAGGGGACCGCAGAGGCTGTCACTAGCAGGGGATGGCAGTTTGCAAAGATCACTCAGGCTGCTAGTGGGGAAAGGACTGCAAGCTGCAAGACGACATGCAGGGAGACCTAAGCTTAACTACATTTAAAAAAAAAAAAAAAAACAGAGTTTTCAAACAAATGAATAAACTATGTGTGTGTTTCTATTCTTACCGAATGAGAGGCGTGGTGATGAGATCTTCCTGACCCTATAATGCTCTCTCCCATGCTCTCCAGAGCCTTATTCACCTCGGGGTACACAGCAGATGCTCAACAAAATCCCCTTCCAAAGTTCTTCGATCAAGAAGTGATTTTCAAAGCCTTAAACTAACCCCCCCAAGAAAAAAAACACTGAGTCTTAACAGAAGCTCATATGTCAAATTAAAGTGAGTGCTGGGGTGGGGGTCACTATGAGATATATCATGGGAACACTGGTCCACACTGTCAGCTACAGTGAGATGAAGGGTCTACCAGATTTCTCAGCAAAGAGATCAAGAAATTTATTCCAGGACAATCAGTCAAGCATATTTGGAGGAAAGGTAATTTCCCTGGATTCATAAACTCCTGTTATATATACAGCAGTAATTTTAAACATATAAGAGTCCTACTATAGTATTATAATACAGACTTGAGTATATTACTGGTCAAAGTCACAGGCCACAAAGCAGAGAAATTACTAAAAACTGGGCATGAAATGATTTAGCTTCAATTAATCAAGTATTAATCTCATATCCTAATACCCGTGTTATGATAGGATTTCTCTGAAGTTATTCAACAAGCTGAATCACTTGCTGAGCCTTTTGCTAGATTTTCCAGTATCTCTAAGTACTAATGACTCTTTAAGCAATATACTTTTCTGAATTTTTATGGTCTATAGACTAAATATATTTGCAAATTTTTAAAATGTATGTACATTTGCCAACAGCAAAAATAAAATCTCTAACCTATATAGAAGTTTGATCTTTGTAATTACTCCTATCCGCCCACACTTTGTGTCTAGTTCTATTTATGTAATGAGATTAGCCAAGTTACCACAACAGTAAAAGGCACGGCTCAAATCAGTTTTAACAACTTAAGGGGGTAATCCAATGGAAAAATTCGCTGCCTTAGAATTAGGAAACTTAGTCTTCCACTTTCCAAGCTATCAAAACCATCCCCACCTGAGGTCATTCTCGTGCCTTAAGCACGGGATAACTCAAACAAGAAAAAAGTAAAAGGGAACTAAAGGAAGCTAGGGGTGGGGGGTTGGGGAGGAGGTGTGGGGTGAAGGAAGAATCTCTGGCAGGCAGGCACAGAAGATCATCAATAATGGTCCCAAGCAATGTATATGAGAACATAGCTTTATCAAATTCATAGAACTAAACTATAGGAAAAAAGTCATCAATTTCAAAATGCAACCATCACACTCATCCTATTTCCCCCAGCTGTCTCCAGGCAGTGTGTGTGTCCAGAGGTGGGAGAGAAGGCAGCCCAGCTGGAGAGATCCCAGGGGCTGATGTGCAGGGTGCACGCTGGAGAGACATGGAGATGAGACTGGAAAGGATTCAGTCAGCTTCGGTCATCACTGTTCGGTATTCCTTTCATCCCCTACTGGTTGCCACACTAATTGATTTTTACCTCTACAAGGTTTTAGAATACATGTCCATCCTTTCTGGCCCCACTGAAGAAAGGGTAAGAGTTGTAAACAAACTTGATACCTAGTCTATCCTCCTTTCTACTTAATTTCTGAGTCTTAATTACGCTTTCTGAATATCAAAACTCAACATTAGTAAAGATTCTAAACAGCCCGATTTAAATTGCTCATAGAATTTTCTGATAGATGATAAGAAAACATGGGGGAAAAAACAGCCTGTCACTCCAAGAAGAATTTGAAAGGAAAATTCCAGAAAGCATGAAAATAGTCCTTATAGAACTTTTAGCCTGTCTCAATACAGTGCTTCTTATTTTCTAAATGTGGGTATTAAGAAATATTAAACATCTACTGGTTGTTTAAACACACATGAGCTAAATATTAGTGTTAACACTTACGCTTATACAAATACTTACAAATCTAGAGGAGTTGTCATTCCTTACAGTCTTGGCATTTCCAAATGCTGGTAGGAAAGAAACAGATGTGTGGTCAAGCGACAGAAAAATAATTTCAAGCCAAAAACTAAAACAAATACATGACAGCTATAAATTTCTAGAAATGCTACTAGCAGCAATGACATTTCTGTCCAGAAAATTTCCATAGAAACTAAACGCAAGTTTTAATAAGCTGCCAAAGCTCCCATGTCCTCTTATAAGTTCATAGAAAGAGTCATCCCTGTGATTCGTGGAACTTTTTTTCCAGTACTACTGTAAACAATCTTGTCTAATTCAACACCTTTTAACTGTTTTGATAGTGGTCAACTGAATGGCTAGCAAGCAGGGCTTCTGTGTTCTTCTTCTATTATAAACAATGAATAAGGTTATTTTAGAGGTAACTACTTAACACTACCAAAGGTTTTATGAAACTCAACTCATGAGGTTTCCAGGTGGAAAAAAGCATGAGAAACTTTAAACTATTTAATTAACTTTGAAATAAAAGCTATTTAAATGTGATTAAATATATAACTCTGAAATACAGAAAGAGTAAGAAATTTGGAAACTAACGTCATTTCCAATAGACTAAAAATACCACATAGTTTCATTAGTTTATGTCCATCAGACCTAAGTTTGTTTTTCCAGAAAAACAAAACAAAAACAGCCCACAAGGCAAAATCAAGTCAGTCCCAGGCTTAGCTGCTTCAAGGAGCCAGAACCTTCCACAGGACGCCCTTTCCAATGAGAGCACAGAAGAACCACGGGGATTATACTGCCCCAGGCACAGAACACTCCTGTCTGACAAAGGTCCTTCAGTGTCAAAAGGTTAAGAGGACTGTTTCATCAAGCTTGTGCATAAGATAGGAGCAGATTAATCTGGGCCTTGCTAACAGATGATTAAGTGGGATAACTGTAAATCACAGAAGCAGAGGGGATCCCTGTTTGATGCTGTGAAGCCCAAAAGCATACCTCACACTTTAATGTGTAAACCAACTGCCTGAGGATCTTGTTCATTTCAGTTCACTGAATCCAGGGATGGGCATGAAATTCTGCTCTTCTACCAATACCCTCCCACCCTACCCTGAGGGACACATGGGCCATACTGCAGCCAGTAGGGACTGCAATGTGATATGCGATGATGTGGTGAATAGAAATGACTCTTTAGATGAGAGGCCCGGCATCAAAACCCCAGAAGCCCTCACAGCTTCATTAAGTTAAACAGAGGGAAGAAGATCTGAATAATAAGCTCATATGATTAACAATGGCCAAATGATGGTCCAAATTTTGAAAGCAATCCTCTGATCAAAATTTGGAAAGTTCACTGTGGATATTCAGTAACCAAACCTACTGTGTTACATTTCATGTTAGCTGGTATTTTTATGTTTTTGAGTGTTAAAAAAAAATGGTTCCTGCTCAGTTAAGACAAAATTTACAAAGTCACACCAGGCAAGTTCTTTGATTCGGAGATTCCACTTGGAATGGGTACGGCTTCATGGTCCCTGACAACAAATTCTCTTTTTGATAGTAAATAAGCTGAGATGCTGCATTAAGTAAAGAAACCTGCACATGAAAAACACTCAAAAAAGGATGCTTGCTGAAGAGGTTCATGTCCTTATCCCACGTCCACCATCACTAAAGGGTTTTGATACATGTAACCTTGCTAATGGTGAGTGTTGACCTAGTCATCCTGAACACCATAACTTTTCCGTGTTTTCATAGGCTAGATCTTTGTGGTGGGGGTGAACATGCAGGGATGCCAAATTAACTAATATGCACAGCCCCAAAGTCTAGCACAAGATGCTGACACATAAAGGAGAGTTTATTGTGGCTTGAAGGTCAAGGGCAAGTGAAGGAATTGCTTCAAAAAACTTTATTCAGGGTGCCATTTGCAAGCCATAGACCATCTTTTCATCAAACAAATCTGAGTTGCATGTTACTAAACATAGCTCTAAACTGTAAAAGTCTTTTATTGTAAGCCTCAGAAGCAAAAACAAGTGTTCCATTATAGAACACTCGAGACACACTCAACAATTGTTTTTTTAAGTTCATTGTGCTAAGTGTTCATTTACAGTAGCAACTCCAGTTAGAAAGTAAAGCATTCCCATAAAATATAATACATGCCTACAGTGGACATTTCTCCCATTTCCTGCACTGAGGCCTCGTTTCAAATACCATCAAATAAACAGTCAAATTCTAATCACAGATGCAAGCTATAGCATTCCACAGTGTTTCTGTTAGATCTCAGCATTCTTAAAATAAGCATCTACAGAAATATAACACATGTATAGCATCCTAACTTAAAAGCAAAAGACAATAAACAAAAAGTCAAATACTGGAATGAGGAGAAGATATAGTGCTTTCTATCATAGCATCTTTATTTGTTAAGGTACTGAAGAGAAAAAAAGATCAGTAACAACATAATGATGATGTTTTGGGCTTTGTTTCTCATATGCAAAGTATTTCCATGAGTTTTATTTCACTATCCGGGGGATAAAGATGTATACGGTGTAATACAGTGGATGGAGGGACTCGGCCTGCCTAACAGAGACAATGAGTAGGGCTCTGCCTCTCCATACTGGGTTGGGGCGGGGTCGGGGCTTCTTCCTCCAAAAGGAGCTCTGCTTTAATCCATGTTAAATCTTGACCTTCCATGACTCTGAACAAACGGCTGAACCAAACTACTCTTTGAGACCAGAACTTCTGACCAGGGGTTGTCTTGACCCCCATGACAGCTGGCAATGTCCAGAGACATTTTCAATGGTAACAACTAGATGTAGGGGTGCGACTGGCACCCAGGGGGTAGAGATCAGAGATTCTACTAAACATCCTATAAGGTACAGGACAGCCTTCCATATCAAAGACTAACCCAGTTCAAACTGTCAATGCCCTGGCTGAGAAACCTATTCTATCCTAACAACTGTGTCAAATGACAATACAGGTATGCTTTCAGTATACACAATGCAGTGGGCCTTCCATCAACAGAGACAGGCTTTGATTTACTCATTTCAACATAAGGATGGCTTATGCTGATGGTTTATGCCAACCTCCATGGCAGAAGGGGACTTATCTTTGGCTTGGCTTCCTGATGGTATTATGGACTAAATGTTTATGTCCTTCCCTCCCCACAGCTTCACATGTTGGAAGCCCTAACCCCCAATGTAATGGTATCTGGAGATGGGCCTCTAGGAGGTAATCAGATGAGGTTATGAGCCAGCCCCCAACCACCCATCATCCCCCTCCTCCTCCCACATACACACACAAAGAAGAGGTCATGTGAGCACACAGCCGGAGGGCAGCTGCTTACAAACCAAGGGGCTTCAGAAGAACACCTACCTTAGCAGCAGGTGATCTTAGACTTTAGAGCCTCCACAAGTGTGAGAAAATAGATTTCTGATGTTTAAGCCACCCAGTCTGTGGTACTTTGTTATGGCAGCCCAAGCTGACTGACCCAGATGACCAAACAGAGAATAAAGTCAAGTTTAGGCTTTCTGTAACCCTTAGAAAACGGTCCTTAAACGTTTCTCTGACATAGCCTTGGTTTCCCTGAAAACAGAAATCACCAGCCATGGGTGTTATTCTGAATAAAATAGCACTGCCCTCACATTATTCTTTTTCACTAAGTTTCTCCCAGCTGTCAAGTCAAATGCAAATATCAACTGATTATTATTAAGCAAAATTTAAGTAATTCAAACAAAAACTGAGAGGGGGAAAAAAGTGACTGCAAGTAGGAGAGCTCCTTTAGTCAAGGAAAGTGTTCCCTCCTTGAAGTTCATGCAGCCCCGAGTTCCTATGGCATGCTGCCTTGCTCAGCAGGTGTGGGCCTGACTCTCCTCTTCCCTCTGCCCTCCAAGGCTACCTCCTGGTGCCTGAAGTGCCCTGAAAACTGGATTCACTGTTCAAGTCCCATTGAACCAATAAACACCCAAAATCCTACCTTCCAGAACTGGGTTGGACTGTAAAAGCTGTTCTTTAACTTGATTAACTTCTGCTCCTTTTCCACAAACAGCTGCCACATAGGACATAACAAGCTTGCTGGCCTCTGTGGATGAAAACAAGCCATATTAATAAAGTAAGCAGATAAAATGTTTTTTTTAATTTTGGGGTGAAGAGATCTAGGGGAGAATATGCACTAATAGTGTTCTCAAAAGCCTGCACTTCCTGGGAGCAAAGAATGTTTTGGAAACCTTTTAAAATATTCATGCTTTCTATTCAGATATATCACTGATTTAGATATAACAGGAACTGTGCTTAAAGGTTATCACTGGGTTGCTAAAAAATTGGCTGAGTAAACATAGCCAACAAGATCTCAGGACTATCTTCTTAAAGCAACTGTTTCTTAAAAAACTAAAAATAGAGCTACCACATATAATCCAGCAATTCCACTCCTGGGCATATATCCAGAAAAAAAATCATAATTCACACTAGTATGAATAAAATGGATAAACAACAAGGACCTACTGTATAGCACAGGGACCTATATTCACTATTTTATAATAACCTATATGGGAAAAAAATCTTTAAAAGAATTGTGTATATAAATATATACATATAACTAAATCACTTTGCTATATTCCTGAAACACATTGTAAATCAAGTATACCTCAATAAAAAATTAATTTTTAAAAAGCAATTTTTAAAATTAATTTTACATACAATTACTATATTATACATAGGTGATTCAAGTCAAAATGAACTTGATAACCTGGGTGTCTTTACCAAATGTATTTTTAAAGTTTAAAATAACTGACTCTCTTCAAAAATACTTTCTAAATCAAACTGGCCTACTTACAATCAGATTAATTACTCTTCAAATCAATTAAAAAACTAAGCAGCTAATCTTAAGGATTTGAATCTCAAGAAATACAGACCTTCCAGGGAACCTTTTAGTTATTTTCATAGACCTCACTAGTAGAAAGTTCCCTACTAAAAGACGCAGGCCACCAGAGGCATGCAAAGAACTCTTTGCTCAAACTGGTGCTTTTGCTTTGCATGAGTGCTCAGTTGTGTCCCACTCTTTGTGACCCCATAGACTGTAGCCCACCCAGGCTCCTCTGGCCATGGAATTCTCCAGGCAAGAATACTGGAGTGGGTTGCCATTTCCTCCTCTAGAGGATCTTCGCAATTCAGGGATCAAACCCACATCTGCATCTCCTACAATGGGAGGCAGATTCTTTCCCACTGAGCCACATGGGAAGCCCAGCTGAAACTGGTAAGGTGGGCCAAATCTGGTTTTATCCTTCCCCAATCAGTACATGTCTCTTCTCAGCATCTACTTCCAAAAAACCGATCCATTTAATATTGTTCCAAGGAATGGTAATAGATGTTAAGGGAAAATGAAGTCCAAAGTCAAATGAATTTGAGGTCACAGTGAGTTAGGTTAAGTAAGACAGGTTTCCTTATTACATGGCTTCTTAGAGGAGCATGTGCATTGTAGAAGTCCGGAAAAAGGTCAAGAACGCACCATTTCCCAAACTTATTTGCTATCCAATCTCTTTCGAACTGCCCCAGTTCTAATATTCTATAATCAGGATGTGGTAAACACTCAACCAGTAAATGTCAGCAAAATAACACAAGGACCCACATTCGGGCAGTCAAGAAGAAAAAAGCTATCTCCCCAAATCTTACTTTCTTGCAAGTTCTTTGCTCTGGTGCCACTGTCGGAGAGCAGGAGAGCCTTGCATAGGTGTGAGTGGCAGGACTCCTACCTATGGGTGTAAGGGGATCAATCTCAATACTGCCCTTTCTCATGAGGACATCTACAGGTAACTTCCAGCCCATTTCCCACATCTATATGTGAAGAAATGAATGACTGGAATATGACCTTGGGTGCATTGCCCAACACGTGCTTCAGGGGCCTACACACAAACCCAAAGCATCAACTAGTAGCAGGAGCCACAGCACACCAGGAATCCACGCAGGTCCCACAGAGCCCGCAAGGGAGCGCTAGCAGGAGGTGCTAGGAAGCAGTGCTGAGGAAGCAGGCGAACTCACTGGAGCCCTTAGGATGGTGGGGGGGGCGGGGGCAGGGTACTTCTTCAACGGCTGGAGTTAACGCTGCCTCCAATTTGCTTTCTGGGTAATGAGAACGAGTCCAAATAGGTCCTCTGCTGGTCTGTGATGGCTGATTTCTGCTGTCTCCTCTTAAAGACTGTAACTGAGAAGTATCAGTCTTGCATTTCTGCAACACCCTCCTTCCAGAGGGCACTACCCCTTAACACACCCTCCGTCACGTCTAGTTCCTAAACCACATTTCCCCTTGTGCTCAGGGTTTAACTATGTAAAGGCAAGTGAACCGTATGGACACACTTTTGTTGCTCCATCAGGGTGACCTGGCCTCAGTCATGAACAAAAGTTTATATTATTACCTTTCATTTCACTTCTGGGTGCTACATTTCCCTGTGCCCACCAGTCCACACTGGAACTCTTCTTCTGTCACTTTGAAATACTTTGTTTCTAGGATCCCTGGCTTTCAAAGTCAGGTGAAACAGCCCTCCCAGCAAACTCCTGACATCTTGTGCTATCTCGTCTCCCAACTGTGGGCCAACTCTCCTGAATCGCCCACACATTCCAACCCTATGGTGTGGCCTCTGAAACCACTCACCTCCAGGCTTGCTTTCTCATCATCCTGCTTTCTCAGCAGCATTCTTTGCTCCCCACCTACACTCTCACATGTATTACCTATACTCTTCCTGACTTGAATTTCTGGCCCTTCTACTCATTATACTACTAGAAGAATGGAAGCATTTACAGGCAAAAGAACTGCCCCAGGTAGTGGTAAACACACACACACACACGTATATACATACACATTTCAGATGGAAAGGTAGGTTTTCTTTTAGGCAAACTAACAAGAAATATTAAAAGTCCAGGCCAGGCTATTTTGCTTATTTCAGTGACTATGAATCTCACTGCAGCCAAACCTCAGACCTCAGATACATGGCTACACCCAGTTCTCTGGAAATCCTGTTCGAGTCTAGGATAGACACCAGGGACAAACTGCTGTGTATGTGTGCATGCATGCACATGTGTGTGCAGATGTGTATGGGAACAGAGGGAGGAAGGAAGATCAACCAAGAATGAGAACTCTTTGGTAGCTCAGAGGATTGATTTGACCTCCCAGAGACCTTTTAATGGCCTGAACGAAATAGTATCAAATTCTCTTGGGGTCAAATCTATTTTAAAATGGCACCAGTAGCAGATTTTTTTGGGATTTGGATTGGACTGACATCATATGGCTGTTAAAATTGTATGTTCAAGATGAGGTTAACTTAAATTGAAATTAGGAATCAGTTTTACCAATTTTAAAATCTATTTAAGTAATTCAACTATAATTTTTTAATATACTTCAAAGATCCTTCTAAGTTGTTAACAAGTTTTTATGTTCAGATTCTTAACTATCTAAAGGAGACAACTCTTTTTTTTTTTTTCCTGACATAATACTTGATCTTTAACTCAAGTAGTTTACAAGATAGTCAACTACTTTAGAGAAAATAAGTAAACCTGTAAGGACAAGTTGCAAGGTCCAAGGTAGTTTAGAGGACTGCTTTCATTATATTTCACCATGCTGGAAACAAATAATAGTTATCTCATGAGACTTTCTGCTTCATTTTCTTTGGCTCTTCTGTGCCAAAGTTCAAATAAATTTGGATCTTTATTCAAATGTTTAGATATTTATCTAAATCAAAACTTTATAATCACCTCTACAAACGAAAAATATTACATTTCTGAGAAATCAAGAGTCATCCTCCTCCATACTACAAAGCCCGATTTTTGAATCATGTTAACTTCCACAGGAACCAACTAAGCATGACCTTGGCAACCACAACATAAGAGTAAGCCTTTTCCAAGACAATACTTTTGAGTAAAATGAATGCATTAATCCACTAATCATACTCTCAGTGACAATGTCTTACATGTTTGCTGTAAAAATATAAAAGGGTTCTATTTAGGACAAAAAAAAAAAAGGTATTCTTAATGTGTACTCATAGCTCTGAACAGCACTGCTGATCTAGATATAAGAGCACTGACATTTAAAATTGGCAAAACATAACAGCATTGCTTACAACTGATTCTAGTTCATCATGTTCTCTAACTCACAGATACTTTACATGTGTAGATTTATGTATACATACACATTTGAATGTAACTTAAATTTTAAAATGCATTGAGTCAGAGAAATAAAATATGAAGTCTTTGATGTCAAAATATCTTCTCACCAGAGAACAGCAGAACATCAAAGGCTATCCAGACAATGCACACTAATGGACAAATGGCCTATAACAAAACATTTCTAGATCAAAATATCTAGATCAGAATTCATTTCTACAAAGAATGGAAAGGGGTTATGGGAGACAGCTTATGATTCTAGAAATTCTTACTTGTTAAGGTAATAATGATAATTAATTCAACCCTGTATACTCTGATACCTTGCACTGTGTTGTGAATAATATCTATTGTATGTCACTGTAGAATTACATAATACATAATCATGTTGTTTAGTCACTAAGTCATGTCCAAGTCTTTTGCAACCTCATGGACTGTTGCCTGCCAGGCTCCTCTGTCCGCAGGATTTCTCAGGCAAATCCTATGGATTTGAGAGTGGGTAGGCCATTTCCTCCCCCAGAGATCTCCTGCGGCCCCTGTAACAGCAGGCAGATTCTATACCACTGAGCCACCTGGGAAGCCCAATATGTAATCATATAAATTCATGTATAATAATATTTTTATGTAAGAAAACACTGCAAAATAGCAATAGGTGCTTGAGAAACAGAAAACAATGAGATTTGCAACCATAAGGACAAAAGGATGGGAATCTCATTATAGCATTAGTCACTCAGTCACGTCCAACTCTTTGCGACTCCATGTACTATAGCCCATGAGGCTCCTCTGTCCATGGGATTCTCCAGGCAAGAATACTAGTGGTGGTGGTGGCTTAGTTGCTAAGTCGTGTCCAACTCTTGTGACCCCAGGGACTGTAGACTGCAAGGCTCCTCTGTCCACGGGATTCTCCAGGCAAGAATACTGGAGTGGGTGGCCCTT